ATGAAGGAACGTTTCTCCTTTGGGATTCGTTCGTAAAATCATTGTAGTGAAAATGGTTAGAGCAGTTGTCTCGGGGGCACATCCCTAGGCTCGAGGGGGTTGCTGTTTTTGTAGTGGCTTTCCTTGGTCTGGTGGTTTCTAGTGCATAAATACCCACTGTAAGTAACTGCATGAAGACCAGGGTTGAGATTAAGTTTTTGGATAGGCAGTTATTGGGAAAGCTCTAATTGTATGGCATCGCAGTAATCAAAACTGTACTGGTATGGCTACTTTTGCTAGTTTTGTTCAGTCTCCGTCTGAAGAGCTATTGAATCATTGTGCAAAAGAGCAACTTTTGAAGCTAGTTGAGCATTATGAGGTTGACATTGGAAAGAAACAGTTAAAGAAGGAAATTAAAGAGTCGTTGAGGGCTGCTTTAATGGAAAATGGTGTTCTGCCGGTTACTTTGAAAAAGTCAAGTGTCTCTGAGGCTGTGGTTTCCTCAGGACTAACCTTTGAACAGCAAAAAGAGTTGTTGTTGTTGCAAATGTAGAGGGATAAAATAGGCATGGAAAAGGAAAAACTACAACAGTCTTTGGAAAAGGATAAACTTGAGTTACAGTACTTCCGGTTAAAACTAATTGGGGAGGGTAAGATGTCAGGTAATGCTGACACGGAGTCTGGTTTATCTGGACGTCAAAGTTCGAGAATGTTTGATGTGGTGGGTAACTTGCGTTTAGTGCCGAAATTTGATGAACGAGAGCCAGACACTTTTTTTCTCCCTTTTTGAACGTGTCGCGAATGCTAGAGGTTGGTCTCATGCTGACCGTGTAGTAATGTTGCAATCGGTACTGACTGGGAAGGCCCAAGAAGCTTATTCAGCGCTCAGTGCAGCTGACAGCCAAGTATATTCTACTGTTAAAGAGGCCATTTTAAAGGCTTATGAGTTGGTACCAGAGGCCTATAGACAGAGGTTTAGGTCTTGGAGAAAGTCTGATAAACAGTCACATGTTGAGTTTGCAAGGGATTTAACTAAACATTTCAACAGGTGGTGTTCAGCAACGGAGGTCACTACTTTTAAAGATCTGGGTGATCTCATGGTGCTAGAGCAGTTTAAAGATTGTATTCCATCTGAGGTTGCTACTCATATTGCGGAGCGTGGTGTAGAAACTGCCTCTGAAGCTGCTGTTTTGGCAGATGAATATGTGTTGGCACATAAAAGAGAATTTGGAACAAATGGGGTTTCAGATAATGATGAAGCTAATCGTCATTCAGCAAAATTTTCTTGGCCTGAGTCTTCAAAGATAAAACATGGTCCACATTCAGTAGGTTTTGGTAAAATTTGCAATTATTGCCATGAGAGGGGACACTGGAAAGCAGAGTGTCCTGTGCTCAAAAGCAGGGTAAATCGCAAAGGTTATCATGTTAAACCAGTCGCTCTCAGTGTTCCAGTTAAACAAGCTCCAGTTGACACAGGTGTTTGGACTTGAACCAGAATCTGAGAAATACTCAGGTTTTGAAGCTTTCGTGTCAGATGGGTTTGTCTCTCACTGTTAGCGATGTTAAAGTGCCTGTGAAAATTCTACGAGACACAGGAGCAAAGAATTCATTTATTCTATCTTCTGTGCTTCCCTTTTCTCAAGACACAGATACGGGTGAATGTGTGGTGGGTTTAACCCCTTTGTATGTTCCTGTGCACAAAGCCCGTCTGTCCTGTGGTCTTGTGGATGATGTCCATGTGGCAGTTTGGCCCGCCTTGCCTATTGATGGGATAGATGTGGTTTTGGGGAATGATCTGGCTGGAAATCAGGTTTGGGCTGATGGCTTGCCACCTGTCAAACTTACATCTTTGATAAAGGCAGAAAACTGTGATGTCTTTAGCGCTTGTGCTGTGACAAGGGCAAGGGTGTGATTTAAAAAATGACTTTCATCTACCTGATTCTCTTTCTGTCTCAACAGGAAATTATCAGTGAACAGCGAGCTGATGTTGCTTTGAGTGAGCTGTTTGACCAGGTGCAGACTAGCGAGGACGCTAAAAGTGCAGCCGTTGGGTATTTCCTGCAGAATGAGGTATTGGTTCGTAAGTGGGTGCCTCAGGGTTTGGATTGTGTGGGTCATCCTGTTGTTCAAATAGTGGTACCAACTAAGTATCGAAATCAAGTGTTGAAGTGTTCTCATGACCAGACGGGGCATTTGGGGGTTAGGAAAACATATGGTCACGTGTTGCGTTACTTCTTTTGGCCTCGTCTTAAGCGTGATGTGGCAGCTTACATTAAGACGTGTCATACATGTCAAGTCACTGGTAAACCAAATCAGTCGATAAAGCCTGCCCCACTTTGCCAAATCCCTGTGGTGAACCATCCATTTGAACATCTAATCATTGATTAGATCATTGATTAGATGTTGATTTAGATGTTCAAGCTTCATGTGGATGCAAGCCCTGTTGGAGCAGGTGCTGTACTCCTTCAAGCAGACAACCAAGAACCCAAATCAGAGGCTCATGCGGTGGGCTTTGTTCTTGCAGCCTTACAACTTCGATATTCGCCATATTAAGGGGAAAGATAATGCCGATGCTTTGTCTCGTGCACCTTTTATAAGTTTTCATAACTTAACATGTCTTTTACATTGTCCTCTGCAGCTCTGTTTCCCTTCCTCTTAAATTGCTCCTAGGCGACAAGGTTGCTGAGGTTGGAGATGAGTCTGGAGAGGGGAGGAGTATCAATTTGTGTAGAAGGTGTGTTCTGTAATAACTTTACATAAAGTGAAGCATATTTGATCTAACATATACTGAAGTTGTCCAGTTTGCTTACGAAATGAATGCACATTGTTAGGTTCAGGGTAGGAACCCTGTCTTATGGGGGGGGTCACCTGAGCAGGCTGGGCCCAGGAGGCTATACATCAGACCTGGAAGGCTTTCTCACTCTCTTCCCTTGGCCTGCTGACTGAACTACTGGTTTTTGTTTGTGTTCTGGGTTTTACATTCATACATCTACACCTCACCCTTCACTCACACAGACATTGCAGACATACTGATTTACTGATAGACATATTAAACTGTATTTATTATTTTGTTATTTACTTAATTAAATTCTGTTAACTCCCAGACTGTGTGGTCTCCCTCTTTGTCACTCTTTTGAGCCAGGTTGTGACAGTCTTTTCTTTTAATTGACAAGGGAGCTATGAGTTCTGCAAAAGTTACAACATAGGTTTAAATCGGGGCTGCCCTCAGGTGGAGCCCACCAGGCTGAAGTTGTCCTGCCTTTTGGTTCAGTTTGGCCTGCAGATGTTTCTAGGAAAAAGCATTAAAAATGAATTAAAACAATTATAATATACATATGCAGTTAATGCTGTTTTATTTCTTGTGGGGTAAAAATGCTTGTAAATATGTGCAAAGAAGTCAGGATCCTAGTAACAATTTGCATCTTAATAATACAACATGAAAGGTGTTTTTGGGTCATGGCCCACCAGGTTTTAGTTTTTGCTCTCCAAGGCAAAAAAATAGGCAACCCAGGTTTAAATAAATATGTTGAGAGTGGAAGTTGACCCTTGACCTTGGGAACAGGAGCTGACACAATAGTCTTGCACAAGGTTAATTAGTAGATAACTAATGCACAGATGTTCGTTCAGAGCTGAGTGTTTGTTTTTTTTGCAGATTGTATGAACTGTTCCTTTAATAATGATTGTGCTGTTTGTGAATACCACCAACAGATGTCAGTGCAGGATTAGTCACAGCTTCAGCTCCAGGGTGATGTAATGCAATGAAGTCTGAATGAAAACCAACAGCATTTCCCCACAGGTTTACAGCTGTTAATGCAAGAGCTACATTTTCCTTTAATACTGCAGCCTGTTTCTCTGAGCTTCTGACCAACGACTTCAGTATTATTGCTTGGCTGAAACAGAGAAAAGAACAGAATACGGAAAACAACTAAACTGTGATGAGGGACCACACGTACATGGCTTCACAACTAAGATCCAATGTTTAATGGAAGCCAGTGTCAGGTCAGAATAGAGTAACCTTTCTGTTCATAATATATGGAGTGTCAAATTCCCTTTGTGGGGTGGGTTATCCCTATGTTATTTTAATGGGGAAAAATAAAAAAATGGAGGCCATCTTGAAAATGAATTCAAAAAGTTCAACAACCTTACACATCTGCATGAGAGAACAAAACAGGACAAATCATTCCTATACATTGTATCCTTATATAACAACATAAATCACACATGTTCTGAAGAGAATGTGACAAGCATCCCCAATTGGTAGGTACAGCCTAGCTACGCAATAAACTATAGCTCTCCCTTTATACTTCTAATGGTAACAATAACTTTATTGTAAACCCATTGTGTAAAAGCCTAGAAGAAATAAAATGAAAGGGATAAGCTGGATATTTAAATTTAGACATGAAAAACACTAAAACTCCTCTCACCTTGTCTTACTCCTGAAATTACCCTGTAGTTGACCTCTGACCCCAATTCAGAAAATTTCTGTGCCAACAGTTTTTAATGCCGCCCTGTAGGGAGTGAGATCTAATGAATGTGACAACCAACCCCGTTCTCCCTTATTAATAATAAATCCTACAGCATTTCAAAAATTATAATTTATTAAGTGCTTACATGGTTAAACCAGGATTCAAACATTTTAAGACTGCAAGGACGCACTTAAAATGTAGAATAATAACACTAACAACAAATGAAAACAACATTAATAATACAAAAAGATAAAGAATAACGGGAATAAAACAGAGTGCTAGCATTAATAAAAGGCTGAATAACGTCACATTAGCTTACAACATTCAACTCTATTTATCTGTTTGTGTAGTAAACAAGAATTTTCAACGTCATAGCGCAAATATGAGTCGTCATGCAGCTTGAGAGGCTGCTGGTCTCCGGGCTGAAAGCATGACACAGTGCGGGCTGGTGTTTATCAACATGTCCGCCGTCATCTGTCCTCAATGAAACATATCATCAGCCGCACGCGCTGCCATAGAAAGCTGCATTAAAGCGTAAACCAAGTGAAGCTGGGCGCGCGCCATAGGCTGAGCATCTGGCGGGCGTCTCCGCCTCCCTCACGCTCCTCACTCCGAGCGCTCGCGCCCGTTGCGGATGCGTGCGACGGGACGGTCTCGCGCACCCCGCTGTCTCTTCTCCCCTGTCTTTCTCCCTCAGCTGGAACCGAAAATTAACTACAAACACAGCTATGGGAGGATTTAACGCTTAGCGGCCCCTGCTCCATTTTATTTAAATTTTAAGCGTCGAGTTTATTCCCCGCGAAAATGGCGACGGGGACAGGCTGGCAGCCTCCGTACAACACCTCGACTAGCAGCACCAAATATACCCCCTCGCCAACGTCCAGCATGTTTTACGACGGGAGTTTGACGCTGGAATACACTCAAGACCTGCATTTGAAGATGAGCAAGAAGATAGCACAACTGACCAAGGTCTGTCGGTGTGAATGAATGACGGAGGATGTAGTGACCAAGTCTTTTAGAGCAGGTTGGATGTAGACGGAGTGTACTGTAGTAGAGGAGGGCTGTGTTGGAGCTGGTGTATGGTGGGACGTAAACATGCCGATGAGGAGGGACGTGGTAGTATTTTCTGGTGTTTTATACATGTACTTTGGTGCAGCTCTGGCGCTTGTAGTTGTGTTGTGTTTAATGAGATTTTACTGCCCTGCAACCTCGCAGGGTTCATAGGTCATTATTAAATAGGTTTATTTCTGTTGCTAATATGTAGTGGTAGTTATTTATCAATCCTTTTTGAGCAAGACTTGCCTAGAAAGAGTTTGTGTTCTCCTGCGATCTCACTCCTCTGTGCAGGCTGGTAGTAGCCCATACTGTACTCTGCCTGGAAGAAAACTGTGACCAGACTGTAATTCATACACTGATGAGCTGAGAGCTTTCCAGATGCTCAGAGGAATATGTTGCTGTAAAAGTACCCTCAGCCACGCCACAGTTCAACCTGTGAATGTTTCTCTGCCATCACAGGGCTGCCACTGCCACTGAAGGGCTTAGGGAAGTTATGTAATCTTGGAGGGGATGCAGGGTTTTCGCCAGAGCTGCTTCTTTGTATCCACCTGAAACCATGAGGATCTTGGGATACGGCGTTGTTCTGTAGTAGAAAATTTAAGGTGGCAGCTGCGTTTGCTGCATCTATAGGCTTTTGGCTTAGTGGAAGGCTGGACACAATGTAAATAAAACAGTTTGCTCGATCATGCTGTAAAAGGGGGAGACACAAACAGAGAGTAGAGGACAGAAGATTTTACATAACAGGCATGGTGATACTATCCCAGTACAGATTTAGACAGTGTGTACAGTTGGATAAGCTGTACAAATAACACACAGCTAGATTGGAAATGTGGATATGCAGGATTATAATGCAACTGATTCAGTGGTTGATTAAAATTATTTGCGGTGGTGCAAAGATCGGCGAGGCGATGGCAGTGGATTTAAGGTCCACGGGATGTGTTTCGACCAGGTTCACTGGGACTTTGCTGCGTGGAGTAGTCTGTATGTTCTCCTCGTCTTTACATGGATTCCCTGCTCCTCAGAGCAAAGAAAGGCAGGTTACGTGGACCCCAGATTGACTCGATTGTATTGGTGTTTGTGTGTGTCAGCCCTTTGATAGACAACCTGACAACCCGTCTGGGGCGTTTCTTGCCCAGTGCATGCTGGGAAAGACTCCAGCCCCCCAGCCCCCCAGGGTACCCATGAGCCTGAACAGAAAACGCAGAAATTGTATGTTTTGATGATTGGAAGCCAAAATCATTGATCCAAGTGAACGCCACCACTAAAATTACAAAGACAGGATTGGGAACAGCTACATATGTTTTCTATTGTAAAAAAAATGACTGACTGGGTCTTTAAACATATTGTCATTTCTGTGTTTGTCGCTGGTCTCATATCTGTAATTTGCATGCAGCTCAGTCTATTAAGGTGCTCTCAGTAATAATAATCAATGCAAACATGACCCCTGAGGTCAGAGACAGAGACGAGGACGGCGAGGACGGCTGTCACTCTCCATGTGACCATGGCAACCACAGGAACCAAACAGAGGATCACGATGCAAGAGTTACTGGTGTCTTTTTTTCCTGAATAATTATTATGTTTATGACAATAGTTAGTGAAACTAACTGCGTCATGTTGCAATGTGAGTAGAATGGGTGGTACAGCTCGTCAGTAGGATCTGTTAAAGCGATTAATGGATCGTTAGAGGAATAAAGTGCAGCTGTTTCCATAATAGATTCAACATTTCATGCAAATGCAGTAGAAAGGTAAACATGCTGTGGCACAAGCGCCCCGAGTGTGGGCTGTTTCTGTGTTATATCACTGCAAACTGAATATCTTTGAGGTTTGAACTCTTATATGTTAATCATTTGCACTGATAATGAAAATAGCTCTTAGTAGGTGGTTCTCAGTCCTTGGGGGGGGTTCCATGTAGGGCTGCACAGTTAATGGAAATATTATTGAAATATATTATTGTTACAGACTCCAACAAATGTCACATCATCACTTTTTTTTCAGTGAAAATGAAAACTGTTGATCCAAAAAGGATCATTCCCACTAATTGTACTATTTCAAAACTGGAGATAAATGTGTCAATACTAGACCTACTGGTGGGGGAATGGGGAATATTTTAATTTCCCTATTATTTAATTGACTAAAAGTTCATCAATTTGGGGGTCCTTGACACCAAAAATGTTGAGAACCACTGCTCCAGAAAATAGCTTTCTCAAGTTATTTCATTGTATTTTACTGCATCTTTGCTGTTGTCTTCTCCAGCCTACTTTAAAAGCTAAGAGCACTTCCCTGTGTAGTGTGTCCAGATGTCGTTGCTTTTTAAATATTGAACATGTTATGGCAGATTTATGCCTTTGTGTTTTGCTCGTGTGTGGGTATCTGCAGGCTCACCGCTATCTGCTTACTAGTCACTCTCAGTTTGGCGCGTGTGGAAACATTGCCATTTCAAATGAGTGAATCAGATACCGCCGCATCGCTATTCATGTGTTTGTGTTGTTCTGCTTAGGCGAGATAATTCTTGCATGAATCAAATCCGTGTTCTCTGTGAAGCTTTCAGTATGGTTGACAGCTTTAACCGTGTGTTGACGGTGAAGTGTGTGAGCGCTTGTTGTAACTTTGCAGGTACTGCAGGCGCTGCGTTGTTTCCTTCAGTAGTTGTCATGCAGCTGTGCTTGGAGGCAGAGCAGGTAGAAAGTAGGACATTCTGTAGTCATTGAACACGTGAGAAACCTTCCATGTTTTGGACATTTTACAAAAGAGGCATCCAGAGTGACTTCCCATATTACCTTGTGACATCAGTAAAGAGATAAAGTGAACTAAAACCCCCTAAAATGTTGAAATGGGTGATGGACAGAAACCCCCAGAAAAAGTTCTGTCACATGGCTTCATTTTTCATTTCAGACAAAAGGTTGCAAAGGCAGCCAACAGTAGGTCATGCTACTGCTATTATATTCATTAATCTGTCAAATTATTTATTACACAACTGTAAAATGAGTCAAACTCTTTTAGCAGGAAGAAGTATAGATCACTTATCACAGGGTCTAATTGACAACAACAATAACAGTATTGAACAACTGATAAACTGTACAATGAACTTACATAGTGAACACAATATCTGTAGGATGTTGGTGTAAAACAAGCAATTTGGGTACATTTTCTGTGACTATTGCAACAGAGATATTTTGAGTAACTTTTTATACAATTCTTTTCCTGTATTAGGTATTTTTTTTAACAAACATACATACTTAATGGACCTCATTTTTGAGAAGTTCATTATTTTCTTCTCCTTGATGTTTGGCTTTTGTTCTGTTCTTTTGCTCTTTGGTTGTTTTTAACTGCGTACTTTATTAATGCAGGACAAAGCTGTTCTGCAGAGACTGAAGGCTCTGTGAAAATAGCTTGTGTTTTCTTCAATAATAATCTTAACTTTAAAAATAACAATTTAATTTAGTTTTTTACAGAAATGGCCCAAATGTTGAGATACAGGCCTACGGTATATATTTTTAAAGTTTACACCACTTAAAATCAAGAAGACCTCGTAATAAATGCAATCATGAATTAATAAAGAATAAAGATTTGTCGCCCCAAATGTCCCTCCAAAATACGATTAAACCTTTTATGAATATTAATGCAAAAATAACTTTATCTTTATTACAGTTCTAATAAACCAGAATCTTCCCTTAATGTGTAAACCAAGGCCTGAGAAATATCTCTCATTATATAGATAATGAAGAGGGCAAAGTAGGGCTGCACGATATGGTGGGATTAGTCTGGCATTGATCATTTTTGCGACACAAATTGAATTTTCACTGAAAAACTATTCAAATACTGGTGATGTGAATGTTTTCTCACATCTGGAGAACAGGATGTGTAGGCCAGTACTTATAACAAACATTCTAATGCTGTTCTGTCACACATTTTAACTTTATCAAAAGAGTGCATTTTTGCATATTGCAGTTGGTCATATTGCAATTTTGATTTAGTCTTCGATAGTCAATTCATACTGAAATGTATCCTTTGTAAGAGATACAGTGGTTTGGTTTCCTAAATGCTTTTGATAGATTTGAGAAACTACATCCAGCTTTTATACAGGATATTGTTTTTATAGAGCTAACTGGATCAAAAGATGTTTGCATTACTGGGTCTTCCTTCATACCCTGCTCTCTTCCGAATATCACAGAAACCACCATTTGTATTTTCTCTGTCAGAGACACTCAGTGTGTCCTTGTTCTCGCTGGCTGTGTGTGTGTGACTGGGGTTGTGATGTGGTAACGCTCAGGGAGAAAAGTGTGTGTCCTTGTAGCGTCGGAGCAGCACAACGAAAGAAGGAACAGCTGCAAAGTGCATTTACACCGCGACTGGTAGGACAAAGTGAATGCGCTGTGTGCTGCAGCTAATTGGTAACAGAGACTGTGTCGCTACTTCATGGTGCGTCTGGTGAAGGAAAACAGTGGGCTAAAAGCTCAAACATGGAGGGATCCCGTTAAGACTACAGCACCTCCGAGAATAAGACTTTCATAAATCCTTTAATTAGTGAATATGATGGTAATCCTCTGGAAATGATGAGAGCGGAGCAACAGGGCTGCAGTTGTTCTCCTGCACACATTAGTGACCTTTATTCTGTCGTTCAGTTAATAGTGATCGACTGTACAGAACGTCCTTTAGCCTCACAAACGTCCCTCCTGGATGCCCTATTGTCATTTTTGCCACCATTCATCATGGACTCAGCCTAGAGCAGCACTGTTAGATATGATTGATATATTATATTGATAAACGCACTCAGACTGTAAATCGGGCTTGATAATTGGCCTTTTGATGGAAATTGTCCACTTCTGTAACGGTAGATGTTGGGCAGTTTGATTGATTACACATGTAGCCTCGATCAATGTTACACGGCTTGAGGGAAAAAAAATGTTGAAAATTGATTTTGATGATACATTTTAATGAGATTCTTCAGGGATGTGGCATAATGGTCTAAAGGAAGTACATGTCAGGAGATTACTGGGGAGGTTTTTGTTTTTCAGCGACTATCCGACTAATGAAAAGTGGGTCGACTGAGACTCTTCTCAGCGACTAACGGTTAAGATTTATATTATATTATATATTTATATTAGGGGGATGCCCTAAAAGTATCTGTTAACAAATATTTGTTATCGGTATCTGTATTGGCCCTGCAAAAACAACAGCAGTCGATCCCTAGCTGAGTCGAGCGATTGATAAAAATGTTAGTAAAATTAGGTGGTGGAGTGAAAAAAGCAGCATATTTATGATGGATGGATGCCTTTAGTTCTCAGTTACTGAGAATGATCATCAGCTTGTCAGGCTACATCTGTCTGGTTGACAGATGCTAATTAAGTCTGTTAAAACAGATCCAGCGTATTGGAAGCAGCACATTTCACAGCATGTTTTACACATTGAAATCAGTCAGGTGTTTAAGCCCAGTTGGGCTGGAACTCACAACCAAACATCAACAAAAACAGCCCTTCTACGAATATTAAAGCCAAATATTCTTAAATATAATCACATTTCCTTGGAGTGAGCAAAACAATCTGCCTATAGGATAAGCCAGTTTTGCTTGGCTAGAATTCCTCTGCTGGCATACTTTGCAAACCATTGTTGTAACTTGTTACTGGTAAAATCTAACCCAATATTAGCTGTAATATCTTATCAAGACAAAGTTAGATATATATTTTCTCAAAAGGAGATTACTTTTATAAAGCAAAACAGACTTTACAAGATTCTTTTTCTTTTTAGACAAAAAATAAGACCCAGAAACAAGTTTTTTTTCCTTTGTTGAGTTTCATTTTATCATTTTCATTATTGATTCATCATTTTCTCCATTAATTGATGAGTAGTTTGGTTCATAAAATGTCAGAACATTTTGAAAAATGTTGTTTCCCATAGCCCAGATCCTCAAATGTCTGATTTTGTCGACAACTCAATCATGAAAATATTCCCATTTGAGAAGCTGAAATCAGAGAATTTAGATTTTCTTTTTTTAGTTGGCAATTAATTTAATAGTTGACAATGAATCAACTAATCGTTGCAGCTCTGAAACAATGTGCAGATAGTTATGGATTTTATTGTCAGAAAAAAACAAATGGTTGCAAGTTTTTGAAGACTTCTTCCAGAAAATGATCGTTGTCAGGGTGGAAAGGCCTCTGAAGTATTTAAACCACAGGACATTAAAACATCCATCAAACCCCAGGAGTATAATAGTATAGTATAATAGTGCTGTCCACTGTGCCATTTTTAGGCCTTTGAAGCTTCAGTAAGAATGACCTGTGAATGTCCAATGGAGCCCATGTGTGGAAAGAACAGATCATTGTTCGGAGAATTCACAGCGAGCGAGTGGGCATGTTGATGACGTTGCAAGGAGTTGATCTGATTTGAGGTATAGTGGAAAAATTGCGCCCACAGCAAGTATAATTTGTCAAGATTTTGATCCTAAATTGAAGTTTATGAACTTGGGAAGTTTTCTATGTACAAGTGAGGAGGTGATATTCACCATACAGTGCTGGAAGCAGTACGGTGGGTGATATATACCGTATATACGGTATCATGCCCCAGAATCTTTGTTTCAGGATACCATTTTTCATACTTCTTTATGCAATTGTAGTACCTTTTTAATATTTGCATTTACATACTACAATATTTCTATTGCATCACAGGCAGGAGACCTCAGATGGCACCTCATCTCCCTGTCCTGCTTTAGTTTAGAATCCAGTGTTTCCTGTTCCTTATTTTGAGGGGCAGACAATAGGCAAGCTGAGCCTTCTGCCATGGTGACAGGCTCAGGATTTTGCTAGACAGCCATGCCATGTGAGGATATTCATGTTCTATCCGATAATGAAAATTAAAGCATTTCCTTAAATGGTTGCGACTGGCGGTGTGAAGCGGACTTTTGGAGCAAATAGAAGCGGTACGTAGGCTTACTTTCATATATTCCCAGTACAACAAGTACAAGGCTTTAATGCTTCAATCAGTGTCTGTAGAGGGATGATAAGTCAGTCCCTCCGATGAGAATCTCTCATATAAAAATCATCAAGGAAAGCCAAGGGGCTTTACTGATCTCTGAGCACTAAGAGACCCGGGTTTAATCCTGAACTTACCTCGCTAACCCAAATCCTGCTTCGTGCAGGTTCCAAGCCTACAGCCTTAATTAATCAACAGATATGTTTTCATCGCTGCTTGTTGCTGAATTGCAACAGAAGCATTGTACAACAGTGGGAATAATCGCACTGTGAAGGATTATTTATGGAAAGGAAGCTTTAGTGTCGGACTGGAGACACAAATAGTAATGCGAGGTATCCTTATTCCTGGGAGATGGAGAGACAAAGAAGGAAGCGAGAGGAGGGAAGAAGATGAAGAACAAAAAGGAGGGGTGGAGGGGGGTAAAAGGATGAAAGCAGAGGGAAAGGAGAGAGAGATGAAAGCAGCAGGAACACCAGCGTCATTAAAATAATCATGTATAATTGAAGGAACATTTCCATGGCTGGCTTGCTGCTGGGAATCAAAGCCTCGCGCTCGAGGAGAACAGGAGGGTAACATCTACCTTACTCTGACTGCTTTCACTGCCAGCCCAAACACTGGCATACTGCTGAGAACAGCAATAAACACACTTCAGATGAGGTCTGACAACATGTCGTACGGACTAGCTCGCATGAAGCATTCTGAGTACCGATAGACCAATTGATCAGGCTGATTATCTGGCATTTTGAGATATCAGCCAATGCCTGCGCTCGCAAGGCTGATAAAAAGAAAATGTCTGCAGGCCCCCCTGTCATTGCAGCTGCTGTGGAGCGATGTAGCACTCCCCTTTGTGACTTTTGAGAAGGTGGTGAAAAAGTTAGTTTGGAGCTATAACTCTCATACATTCTGCTGTTCCTCACTCTCCATCATCTTTTCTAAATGTTAGCACGTTTCTCCAGAATGACAGCAAATCTAATATAAAACCGTTACTGGGTAGTGATAAATATATATTATGTTATAAAGAATAATGCAGTTCAGTGACACCTCTTCTGACTACTGTGCCCTTGCTCTCCCTTAAATACCTGTTCTGAAATCTACAGCATAACCCAATGTATTCCTCTAGTTCATTAGAAATGAAATAAAAAACCATGCATGTATATAAGGTTGTAATGTGCATAGCATGAATTATACATGACTTTTCTTTATTTTTATATTAAACATCGGCTTCGGCCATCAAGTCTGAAGTTTGGGCAGAAAGGGCACAATTAATATAAAATATTATATATTATATAATAGTAATAATATGACTTTTTAAAAGAGTAATGAGTAATCAGTTACATTTTTGAGTAACTAGCCCAACACTGTGGGCCATTGAAAAACCTGTATCAGACGACCACTACTAATAAAACCTATATGTCGAGATTTATGTGGAATTGCTCTCCCATCATGCATTGCACCTCAGGCCTATCACAGCTTCAGTTACTGATTGGACTCACTTGAAAATGGGAATTACATATCATGCTGGAGGTGGGCGATGGAGTTAAAGATGATATTGTGTACCCTACTACTTTATGACAGAATGGCGGCTGTGAAAAAGGTCATGAACATAAGCAGATTAATGCAAGTGGTTTACCCAGCGGCTAGTTATCCAAACCTGAAATGTCCAGGGAGAAAAAGAGTACGTTGCCCTTGAGGACATTTCCTAAGTCGGTCAAACAGATGTCAGTGCACTTTGTATAATGGTCCTATTAAATATTGTTATCTGGAGTTGAGGTACCGATGCATTACAGCAGTGGCTTTAGTATTTTCTGCCAAATCAAGAACCTCAGTGGTGCTTTCAATAAAACAGAACACTCCCTGCTGTGATAATTACTTGGATGCTGATTCAAGTGGTGTTTAAAAGTCGGAAAGTTATAATTACATGACTGTGTCATTATGCCCTATGGAGGATAATTACCACGTAATTGTCCATTACACACTGTGTGTTTGTATGTAAACCTTTCAACTCACCTGTAAGTGGAACAAAATGTGGCGTCTCTAGCTCTGAAGCCAGCGGGGCTGTAATTCAGCTGACCACGACTGAATATTAGCTGCTCACTGGGGGCTTCAATTTGCTGAAGCTTAAGGTTTTTAAAGCTCCTGCATATCATTTACCTCCAGCGCATATAAAACCTACTCAAATGTCTGTGAGAAAGCGCAAGCATGACTGACGAGATGCTATTCACTTAGGCTGGTTTGTGGAGAGCGCCACAGCCAGCAGAGGACTTTCAGGTGACGGTATTTGAAGACCGTATGGGATTTTTGTGTTTACTGATGAGTGAGAAAAAACAAAATATCAATACACGTATCTCCTTCGCAGCATATTTATTTTCTAAGCTTTTGGCAGAGCTGTGCTGTGATCAAGGCCTTTGTGGCAGAAAGCTTAGACCTTCATCAGAGCTGCTTCAGTCACATGCTTGGCTGTGAAATCACAGCTTTCTCTTCGTGTTCCCATCTTCTGTCTCACGACTTGTTGTGTGTGGTGATGTCTTGGCTCAGTTGTCTTTACATATGCTACAACCCTGGCTCAGTTTGTCACATTTAACTAATTTGTTCATTTCACAAGACGCCTAGCTTTTCTTGGCTTTCTTTACGAAACACCAATTGGTAAAGAGAAATTGTAGACAAGTAGTTTAGACACAAAACACTCAGTCAGTGGACAGTGTCTTTAATCAGAGTGTGTCTTTACTGATGTCATTGGTATTGATTTGGCTGCACTCTGAATGCAGAACTGAGCTTTACTCTTCACTGTAGAACTATCGATCTGATATTGAAACAGTTAATAACAGCTTTCTATCCCACCCTCATTCTGTCGTCTGATTCTCTTCCCGTCTCTAGGTAATTTATGCTCTCAACACCAAGAACGACGAACATGAGGAAGAAATCGAGTCTCTGAAAGAAGCCCACGAGGACGAGGTACGTACGGACACAACAGAGCACCAAACACATGATTATGCGAGGCACAGTAGCATGCGGATAAGGTAGAGAACTTGAGTGTTTTAGTGACATTCTGCTGAGGTCTTTGTCGCCTGTTTGACAGTGTGCTGCAGTGGGAGGAGAGGGGCAGCAGGCAGTCCTGTGTCACACTGAAATTTTGGTGTCAAGACTTTAGACCGCCCCCCACCTGCAGGGAGCAGGTCAATGCTGCACTGTGCATGCTGCACCCATGTTTCTGTCATATATTGGGGGAGGGCACTCCCACATGCTGCAGAGCTCTCCATAACCCAGTTAATTCATGCTGCTTGTCTCTTTCACATCGGAATTGTACATGAGAAATACAGTGTCATTATGATCATTTATAATTCATGCCTTAACAGCATCTGTTATCTACAGCTAACAGTTTAAAGGTGTGAAGCCCTGCCCTTTCAGCTGATTAACTCACTTTACTGGATGCCGATGCCTGCCAAAAGACCCAACATAACTAGCAAATATAAAAAAATATATAAAAATATATTTAGATATTTTGTTTTGTGATATTGTATTGATCCTCAATTTTTGCAACATTTTGTGTTTCAACCCCTAACTGCTAGACAGCAGTGTTGTAAATGCAAACTGATGGCTATGATGTTGGATCTTACTGGGACTGTGATAAATACAAAGGCAAATTCCACTGTTCTAGTTGTATAAAAAAAGTCAACTTTTTCTCACTGAGATTTTGTGACTATGGTGTTGTGTTCTCTATTACAGTTTTCCTGAAATTAGATTAAAAACAATCGCAATGTTTCGCCTTGCTTACTATATCGCATTATATCGAATCGTAACCCTCGTATCGTAATACATATCGTATCCCATTGTCGGATTCTTGCCTATAAACCTATAATCAGCCCTATACTCCAATACTCCTTTGCATAGATTCTCTAAGTTTTAGGATCATTTACTGGAGGGATGAACGTGGTTCTTCCAAATGATATTGCCTCATTTGATGTTTAGATGGTGGCGGAGAGCACCGTCTAACATATCGCTCAAAAACTCTTACAGATATACAGCTGTTTCCTTTAATTTGTGTATTAGCAAGAATGTGGGGATATGATACGTATCACATAAAGGGGTTACCGTTCATTATATTGTTAAACTGTAAGGAAGGCGATAAACTTTTTTAGAATTTTTTTATTCAAAAATCAAAGCACACTTCATCATTTTAACATACACATCGATACATCGTTTTTAAGAATTGATGCAATAACACAAAACAAAATATTGCACTAAGTTTAGATGGTGAAAACAAAAAACATACCTCATTTTCAAAGCTCTCTAATTAATACGTTATACTGTATAGTTAATTTGTACAAAAACACGACCAATCACTTTGGACAGAGCCAGGCTAGAGAGGAGGGAAACAGCTTTCTTCTTTAAATGCTAAGCTAAGCTAACCGGCTGCTGGCTGTGGCTTTATACTCTATGGACAGACATTGGAGTGGTATCGATCTTCTAATATAACTGCAACAAAGAGAATACACACGTCTCCTAAAATATCCAACAGTGCCTTTAAAACTGGCAGCAGCCGCTCGTCCAGGTTGTCCACTTCATGACCATACTCTTCCCTCCTGCCACCATCACTTTGATTGGTCATAACTGGTGACCAGCCAACAACACACCCACTAACCAATTCTGTATAACCAATCAGTTTGTGTTTAAAGTGCCTTTAATTTATTATACAGTATTTTTCCTGGACTGGTTTCACAGTCTGGCTGTAGATCAAAAATCCTGATCTCCACTCACAGGCAGAGTTTATTTAAGGACAAGACCTAAGCTGATATGAAGCTGCTTTATATGTTGTTAATTTTGTTCATCTTGCTTTCAGAGAGCAGCTTAGGTCTACTGTGGTCTAAGGTGTTAATTGAATTAGAGTTGCTTTCAAGTGTTGCATTTTCTCCCTTGCCAAGAAACATTTCTTGGAGGCAGCAGCTTTGTGCCGGCTCCCACTGTATTTCTACATTTCCTCCTTTCCATCTTATTTCCACCTACTCACCCACATCCCCCCACATGCTTTAAATCAGCGTTTTCTGTTTCACATTATGTCGTCAAACTGGCTGTATACATACAATTGTGAGTTGAATTCTTGTGTTAAAGGGTCAGTTTGTGGTTTTTTTTTAAAGTGTGATTGCGTTATACATAACGTAGTAGATGGTGGTCAGGACACCCCCCGTTTTGAGAAGCAGAGCAATGCACTGCTGTGGACAGGGGCTGTAGAAAAACCTATTTTACCCACATAAAAAGGCCCACCTCAATATCAGTTTAACTAAACTTAAATTATTAGAATATTTTCACAGCTTTACATCGCCGTCAGACAGCCCTTTTTGATGGGGAACTGAAGCAGTTTTAACACTCTCTTTCAAGCCAGCAGACTCCTTTGACAAAAACAGTAATTTCACCTTGCAGAACAACGGATTTGCTGGTCTACAGCTGCCGAGATCTGTAGCAATTAATGTTAATTCTCAGAACTAAATGTAATAAGACCAAAACAAAGTCACACAATAACACCAACAAACTAACTCCCATGTACTGCAAGGTAAAATGACTGTTTTTGTCAAAGAAGTCTGGTGGCTTTGAAGAGAGAATAGATGGATATAACAGTTTGAGTTTCCTGTTGGAAAGGGCCGTCTGACAGCAAGGTAAAGCTGTGAAATTATGCTAAATATCGCATATACTTAAAATGATATTGACTTTGTTAAGGTGGGCATTTTTTAGGTGGATAAAATACATTTTGTTGCAGCCCAGTCCGCAGCAATGCATTGCTTAGCTTCCATGCTGGTACTCCTGTCTGCTTCTACAAACCGGGCGCGACTATGGATAAGTACTTAAAAAATCAGAACGAACTAAAAAAAAAACTTAAAATTGCTTCTGCAGCTTTCAAGATGTTTACTGTTTTTTTCCATTTTTCTCTTTTTCCTTCTCAGGTCCAACACATTGTGACAGAAACCAGAGACAAGATCATGCAGTACAAGAGTAAGATGGTGGACGAGGCAGACCTGAGGCGGCGGCTGGCCAGTCTGGAAGAATCTGTCGAACTCCACGAACACATGAAGAGACAGGTCATTCACCGCTGCCGGGCACCAATGGGGCTTCATTCAGTTTGCTTGTGTTCAGTGTGGCTTAGTATGTTTGCAGAGCTTCACACATGCATAAATCCCAGAGGCATTCTCTTTCTTACGTCACTATTTCATGTCATGTTGTGCATGCAGCAGCCTTTAATGAATTGAATTAAATCTGAATGGAGCTGCAATGAATCTAATAATCTTGTGATATGATATAGCAGTAATTATATGAGATTGCAGCTGTCCATTAGTGTGAGGTACTGCAGTTGAAATAGAAATAATAATGTAATGCAGCTGTTGTAATGTTTCTCACTCTCAGGCTTTAGCAGAGTTTGAGATGTACAGACAGAGAATGGAGGATTCCCAGCTCTGCACTGAGGCCCAACACACGCAGAGAGTGGTTTCTATGAGCAGAGAGGTAAGGCTTTACACACACGCACAGAGACTCAGGACAATAACAACATGGCCAGTTAAAAAACTGTTATCCTGTTTTTGTACCAATTGAATTTAATTGTGATTCCCTGGTTTATATATTTTTTCATAAAATATTGTCTACTAAACTCAAATTTGAGTTGTATATTAACCATTGTGAGAGTGATTCACTCTGAAATGACTGTTGTAGACTTGTTAGATATGCTTGCTTTCTCTGTGTCACCTTTTTCCAGATTTTTGGCCATGAACTGTAGTAGAATGGTAGCGATACGTTGTGGCGATCATAAACACAACACACAAAACTATTAGGCTGCCACTGGAGCATCTCACAGCGCTTTAGCAAATGCTATTCTGCCCTTGTACAGAAAAGAGTCACATACGTTTAGGTAGCAGTAAAAACAAAGGCAAAATTTGACATGACAGTAGTCGCATAAACTAATATTTTGTATTACTGTATTACTGTCACTTAAAAGCATTAAATGCAAACTGCCATTAAAGCACATAAAAAAAGCTAGCCTTTAAGATCTATGTGCTATGAGTAAATCACCATAGCAGCTTCCACCCTTTGGAGTACACAACATGACGACCTACATGTGTTACATCTCAACAAACAATCCACAGGTGGCCCACGATGGAGAGGCACTCAGCACTATATGACAAAACTTCAACGTTGTGGTGTTTTCATTACCTTAGAATGAGCTGTTTTTATTTACAGAGGGAGCAGGTCCTCTACGCAGTCTGCCATGTTCAACTGCCATTTTTCTACAATAAAGAAAGTAATAGAAGTAGAACAGACAAACCAAACACTGGCTCTAGATAGGGCTGGTTGTGTTTTTCACGTGTTTCGCAGCCACCGTAGTTTCTCCTTTGAGTTTGGAAGGGGTGGGTGAAGCAAGGAAGTTGCAAACTGGAACTACACTGCTAGATTTCACAAAATCCTACACACTGGTCCTATAAAATTATTACCTGTGTGCCTTGATACATAAAGTGGATAAATTCAACCTTTTTTCCACCTGTTTTTAAGAAAATTAAAAATGATCAATAACATTATAGCATATTTTAGATGTGATGGCTATACAGTAATCCAATTGGCAGAAATTATATAAAGTTATAATAAAACCATATACATATAAAAAGATGCAGGATAACCAAATATCAATCCAGTATGATAACTTGCATCATATTCTCATCATGTCATGTATCATATCATACCATCATGTGACCCAGTATCATATTTGTCTGCTTTTGCTTTGTCTGATGGCAGTGGGCATAAATGAACACCTGAAGTGTGTTTAGATGTGATGAGCAGTTCATCATCTGTTCATCTATGTTGGGATAGGTGTACGTCAGCGTTGCTCTTGTCCCGCGTCCTCCTCTCCGCCACCGCCCTCACACTGTCCACCTTCAGCTCGACCAAAGAGACGCCTTCCGTAGCGACCCGAATGAGTCTGCTGACATCACATCACATGACATCACGTTACATTTTTGTATATTTTTTCGACCTCATGTCTGTCAGGTCTTCTGATGTAACAGCAAACAAGTTTCAACACGCCGGGGTGTAGAGAAGCTGCAAGCATTGAGAGAAATAACACGAGGACACTGACAGCATAACATTTAGCACTTTCTCAATTATTACAGAGGGATATTTTAGAGATGCTGTGAGCGTTTAGCTTGGCGCAGGTAGAGACTGAGTTGGCAGTGACACATGAACGGTTCAAACGGAATAGAACATCTTTCGTGGTCTCAATAGGTGGAGGAGATGCGTCGGGATTTTGAGGAGAAGCTGCGGGCATTCAGCCAGGCTCAGGCCCAGTTTGAGGCGGATAAGCGCCGAGCGCTGGAGGAGCTGAGGGCCACCCACCGCCAGGAGGTGGAGGAACTCCTCAACAACCAGCAGAACCAGAGTGCCACCTCCAACGAAGACCAGGAGAAACTGGCCGAACTCCATAGACAAGAGGTGGGCTAAAGAGACAGAGAGGAAGGAAGATAGATGGGGGTTTTGTGGAGAGTTTATACAGCAAGTTACTTGATGGGGTAATTGCTGTTTTGGTGGCTTATAAGGTGTTTGTGGCATTCATTTCTTTTCAAAAATAGGGTTATTTAGTTGGTGCAGTTGGCTGATGAGTATAATATAAACCGGCAGTGGTAATAATCGAGCCATGGACCTTTTGTTGCATGTCATTCCCTTGTTTTATTCCCATTTTTTTCCTTTCCTCTCAACAGTTAACTATCCAATATAACAGATTTCCTAAAGACTAATCTTTTAAAAAGCAGATAAGATGGTAAATATGAACAGTGTGAAGATTTATGAATGTATTTTAGCAACTAACATTAAAATCTTAGGGAAAAAAACAAAGACTTGTTCTTCATTTATCCACCTCTCTGTGCAGGTGGAGGCACTGATGGAGAGGGTGGAGGAGCTTACGAAGGATAAGGTCCGTCTGGTGGAGGAGTTTGAGGCCAAGCTGGGCAAAGCTCAGGAGTATTACGAGAGGGAGCTGGAGGCCATGAGGAGAACACACCAGCTCACCACTGAGAACCTGCTGGCCTGGAAAAGGACAGAGGTAAAACGATGACACAGACGCACAGAACAAGCAAATGTCAAATGGCTGTTTAAAGGAATACTGCACTGTTTCACGTCACAACCTTAACTTCATTAGTTCCATTACAGGACTGATGATCGGTACAAAGCCACCAGGTTATATCTTTATTCTTGATACAAGGCAGCATAATGTTTTTTTTCCAGCCCTTTTTAACGTCTTTAATGTCACAATTCTCTGCCCATGTGAAGGTTGAGCTTCGTAAGGAGTTCCAGGCTCAGGAGGCAGCGCTGCAGCGCTCGCTCTCCAAGCTGAGGAGCGAGCTTCAGAAAGCACAGGAGGAGGCCAGAGAGAACCGAGACAAGACCAACAGACTACAGACATCGCTGGCCAACGCCGAGGGAACTATCAAGGTGTGTGTGTGTGTGTGTGTGTGTGTGTGTGTGTGTGTGTGTGTGTGTGTGTGTGTGTGTGTGTGTGTGTGTGTGTGTGTGTGTGTGTGTGTGTGTGTTTGATGGACACATAGATCTTCTTTTAAGGCAAACCAAGGACAAACACTCCCAATGAATATTTAAAGACCAAAATAATCATAATGTCATGAAAATAGTGCTAACCCATGGTGAATACTGCTGATCATATGATCATTTCTTCTTGAATTTACAGTGTTCCCAACAAAGCACAAATAGTATGAGTGTCTTCATTTGGTTCAATTTGGGTAGGAAAGTGGGCTAAATTGGATGAAAAAACAGTTGCAGAAAACCAAGACAAAAGTAAAAGCCTCAGGGCGAAAACGTTTTTCAAGAATCTTAGAGTGGTGGGAAATCTAATGTAATGTGAGGCAAATCTATAGAGTTTGAATAACTGGATAGGTTTATGTGACTCTAGGCTGCAGTGGGGGAGATGTGGTTGGCTTTAAAAATACTGTGGTATAATTGTGGGGACATCTGTGTGTTTGTGTGCGTGCTGCAGAACCTGCACAAGCAGCTGGAAGAAGCCATCCAGGACGGAGAGATCTGGGTGATGCAGCTGAAAGACACCGAGTACGAACTAGAGGGCAGCAGGGAACGAGTTCAACAGCAGGCAACTGAAATCCTTCATAAAGCCAGTAAGATGTGCTTCCTGTCATTATATACAGTACTGTGTGAAAATTTCATGTGATGATTATCTTGGCCAAAGTAATTGCGTTAATCAAGAACTTAATACTATATTTAAAACATACTGGAATTACGTTACCTTACATTTGTTTAGGTTTGGGTTTTGGAATGAAAGATGTGCCCCACGTGTGAAGGAACACTAAAAAGACTAAAAGTCAGGTTTATAAATCCCTACTGTACATACATATGGTTCCATTCTGTTAGTCTCAGTCATTGTGAAACTGGGTACAAAGGCAAGAGTAGTTCAAGTAGTTAATAGCACTTAATCTACCTAACTGTATCAATACTTCCGTCTGCTTCACCAGACTTTAGAAAAAGCGCAATTTCATGGATTGTGCCAGCCAACAACGTCAAAGCAGCCATCATTATGTTCAACCATTAACTGCTGTGGCTATTTATAGTTCATATATAACACATTTATTTGTCACATGTACCTGCAGACCATCCTCAGCAGCGATCAATCACCATCATCAATGGTTAGGTTTATGGCGCTCATATGGATGCAGTATCCTTGAGCAAGATACTGATCCCCAAATTGCTCCCGATGCTGTGAATCGGTGTGTGAATGTGTATGAATGAGTTAGTTTCTGTTCGATGGACTCGCTGAGTGAATGTGTGTGAAAGGGTGAATGTGGCACGTAGTGTAAAAGCGCTTTGAGTGGTCGGAAGACTAGAAAGGCGCTATACAAGTACATTTACCATTTACCAAGTATGCACGAGGTGTGCACATTCTCTCTGTTCAGTCTACAGGTATCTCACACTGTAGGACAGCTCTGTAGACACATTGCCCTTCACATTTTGACACCTTTTCCATGAATAATAATCAGAATAAGAGCCCCATGAACAAAATCCTCATGTAAACTGTCTAAACTTTTGAAGTATTTTTAGCTCTGGATTAAACCTTTAATAACCAATTTGACATGTAAACTCTCTTTTGACTTTCCCTGTTTTGAACATTTCTTTTTCTGCCCACTTATTTCAGTCAGAAGTTCTATGAGCAGCATGTCTTTCTCACGGGAACCTTCGAATAGCTGATACGTTTGGGGAGATGAACAGAAAGCATGCCTCCTGTTCACCCACTCCAGTTGCAGTATATGTTGATGAAGCTGTTGCCTCAGCAGTAAGGCAATAGTAATGTCAAATCCATCTTAAAGGTTGCCTGTGGAGATTTGTATTCAGGGTGTTGAACAGGTAGGACTTGTTCTGATTGCTGACTGTGGTCCCTCTTTGACTGAATCAGTGATTTTGATTCGACTGTTCCCAGGTCAGATTGGCTCCTTGCAGGCCACCCATATGGCCCACGAGGCCACCGTCAGGAACCTGGACCAGGAGCAGAACCGGCTGAAGGAGAAGATCAACAGGCTGGAGGAGGAGAGGGAGGCCCTGCTCAACCAGAGCCAGGCCGCCAACGAACAGCACAAACAACAAGTGCTCAAACTTGAACAGGTACTGGTAACTCCTGAATCCCAGTCCCAGTCTGAGGGGGGAAACAGGTCAGGAGTCATATACTGTGTTTTTCTCCTCATTTTCCTCTCCTCAGTCTCTGCGTGAGGAGCACCAGGGTTACGAGAAGGAGCTCTCCAGGCTTAGAGCACACTATGAGGAGGAGATGCTTCGCTTCAAGGAGGCGCAGGTCAGAGCGCTGGAGGAGTTGGAGGAGAAACACCAGACCATGAGTGAGGAGGCCCAGCAGGAGAAGGAGGAGGAGAAGAAACTCCTCATGGCGGTAAGTCCATTGTGAGGACTTAGCCATTAGCTCATGTTTTACACTTCTCTTAATGACTCAGGCTGGTTTCCATCATTGGCTTATAAAAGCCCCAGTTATAGTTTGTAATAACATCTATTAGTAAAAGATATCACCAAAGTTTAGAAGTATTGTAAAAATTGGGATTATACATTAAAAAAAATACATTTAAAAATGAAGAACAATACTACCATGCAAAATGCTTTAACTGGGTGGAAATTATTATTTTGTCTTTAAAGTAGAAAACAACAACAACATCACAGTGCAGTGCAAGTTCTGCCTTCCAGCTACCTATAAGCTACTGTGTATATTTGCTTTTTTTCTGTAAAAATACAGATACTTGGATTAGGTTACTGAATACATTTCTAACAGGTAATTAATAATGGTATCGGATTCATTTTTCAAGTAAGCCTCCCAACCCTGCTCATTCCATGATTGCAAAGGAGAATAGGTAAGAAAAAAAATCACCTTCCCGCCTCTCACAATGAATCACCAGCATAAACAGAGATGGTCTGCCAATAATTTGAAAGTCATTTTGCTGGGAGATATGTGCGCACATCAATGCACACATATACTAATTCATCACAGCTGACTAGACATCACATAAGGTTCATATGATCCAGTAATTTGACCTCTGTGCATTTTCTTAAACTAAATAAAGCTTGGACAGTCATTTCCCAAAAGCAAGATTAGTTATGAGAACTATTTTTTTTACCTGTTTTCATTTCTGTGGTTTACATATTGGTTTAAATAAGTGCTGTAGAAGTGACAGTTATTTGTTCTTGAAGAATGAAAGCCTGTGACGGCTGTGTTTCTCTGTCATACCATATGGCTGAATCTACCATTTACATACTGCTGTCTGAGTGCATCAAACCCGCTGTCACTGTCACTCAGATAAATCACAAGCTCAGCGAGAGCTGCTCTCTTGTGGTTGGACTATTTTAAGATATGTGGACACAAGTGAACATGGACCAAGGAAAACTTTTTTACTGTTTGTTAGCCCTGTTGAAAAAGTAGACTTATTGCTTATATATGGACCCCTTGGTGATAAAATGTGGGGAAAGGCCTCAATTGAAATTACCAACTTTCATATAAAAACAGTAATTGCATGCACAGCTCCCAGTCTTGAGTGTTGCTCTCTTCTATCTCTCTTTTCAGCGCAGCAACATCAGCAATTAAATTTCCTCCTCAGAGCAAATGACCTCAGTCGTTTAAGAAATATGTATCTCCAAGAAATGAGCAGCTCGCTCAACCGGCTGCACACATTTAATTAGGTCAACATTAAGACTAAGACATGAAAATATCACTTTTTCCGTGTTTCTTTTTGCGGCTCACATTCTGTCATCTGGTGCTTTTCTTTCTTTCTTCCTCCTTTTTTCCCTCTGAATTCAAAGGAGCTGCATTAAAGGAATATAAATGTGCTTGTTGCCAATGGAGCAACAACATCAGATCAAATTAAACAGGTCAAATTAATTTACCCTACTTTATTTACCAAAACAGCATTAAATTACCAACAACAAATAGTTGTAAACAACTGGGAGTTTTCTTACTATTTATTTTCATACCAAAAGGTGTGGGCTAATGTGCATCCAGCTGTGATCAGTCAACAGTAATCACTTAATATCACTTAGGAACCAGAATGAAGGGAAACTTAAATCAAAATTCAGTTACAAAATACCACTGCAGTGATGGATTTTAGCCTCCAGCTATTTAGTCTCGCACTTCTGTAAAGCTGGGTGTCTGGCGAGAGACAGATAAAAACAGAATTGTCAAAATCATTGCAGCAGAAGCGTAGATAGCCTGACTGTTTAGTCCCTATTATGGGTCAAGTTCCAAAAACTCTGTATCCTACACTTCCCATGGTGCAACTTGGTGTATCTTATTATAGGAGACCCTTCCATTCTGCTAATTTTCAGACACCTCAGCCCTGTAGGGTAACAAGTCTCCAAGCCCAAGCTAGGATCACCCTGATTACATCACTATGACATCATCAGGGTTATTTTATCCGACTTGACAACAACCGTTTTCATAGGCTGAGTTATTTGGATTTATTTCTCTAGGGGAGGTGGAGTGATTTTAACATTACCTCCACATCCCATAATAATCACAGCCACAATTACCGATTATTTCTGTGCAGACTCACTGTTCCTTCTGTAATTTAAATCCCGTCCGGAGCGTCGTCCTTGTATTTATAAGTGGAGTTTTTGATGCACGGGAGGAGCTGTTTCTCCTTTTATTTCATTTTTATCAGCTCATTGTGAAATTCAGTTTTTTAATATTTTATTCCCCACCAACCCCTGTAATGTTGACCACCTCTGAATAGGGCTTAATTCAATAGCGTGTACAGGATGTAGTTCTCTGTGTGCATTCTGAACACCTATAAGAGCCTACTTCAGCATTTTTTTATTCTGATTATTATTTAATCCAAGGCTGCTTTCATACCTAACCTGTATGGTTCAAATGAACTCTGGTGTTCTGCGAGGCTATTATAGTTCCGTTAAACTAAAACTAGGTGTGACAAAACATTTTAGTTAACTGAAATAAAAATAAAAAACGATATTGTAAAATAACTAGAATAAAATGATATACAGGAAATGTCTTAAGTTTTAAGTTTTCCACTCTGGAAAAAACCTGAAACTAAATGGAACTGAAAACAAAAAATATATCTGGAAATGTATTAAAATGAGCAAATATCCTGGAAATAATTGATTTTGTCCTGGAATATTTTAATAGTATTTTAGCCCCTTTCTTAGATCGGCTACATATACCTGGGTGTATACTTTTTTTGAAACTTTAAAGTTAACACTCGGTCTACCGGTAAATCATATGACTGTTTGTAAGCACCTTCCTGTATTGTCAAGAGAAACTCCTGGAAATTGATTTGTGAAAGAGAGTGGGAACCCTGTAAATGCAAAAACCCAGGAAACAGCTTTTTAACTGCAAAAAATACAAATAAAATAACCTAACATAATATCTTTTCATATCATTTCTTTATTTTTCTCACCAAATTATGACAAGTAGTATCAATAAGAGTATCGATGAGTATCAGCATAGAAAGGCAGTACCAAGGTTGATATTGGTATCAATAAAGTCCTAACAATACCCATCCCTACTGATGATGCAAGATGACATCACAACTCTTGGTTTTTAACAAGTCTGTGTGAAACCAAACAGACAGTGGCAGTCCTTATCTGATTGGTCAGCCATATTGTTATTTTTCCATGGAATGGCCAAAGAGGAGCGTTTGTTTTTGTCACAGCACATTACATCCAATTTATTACACTTGTTTGAATCCACCTGCATTCAGCGGACATTAAGAATCCCATTCGTACTGGAGCTTGTTGACCAGTCAAAGTTATTTAGCCGAGAGGGATGAAGGCTGCAGGATATAGAGTAACACTTTGTCCCAGAAAGTGCAGATAATTCCTTTAACAATATAGCTTTTCACCAAAAATGATTACACACTTTTTGAGTTTAAAATAATTTTGAACTCAGTGCTCTCTCTGTCTCTTCCCATATTTCCCCTCTTTCATAACATTTCTCCACCCCCCCCCCCCCCCCACCCACACCCCACTCTTGAGCTCATAGTTCCAATGCCGTTTGAAGCTGACTGCTAATTGGTTGATTTTCATTGACATTAAATCCTGCCTCCCAGCCAAGTGAGAGCGGCGTGTGAGCGTGTTGGGGTGTGTTTAAAGATTCCCTGAAAGAAAGAGCGATGGAGAGGGAGAAATGATGAAAAAGGAAATATTATGTAAGCCAGAGCTGTGCTGTGCCTCATCATCTTTAGATTAACGTCTGTTTTCATTTGGAGCGAAATTAGAGAGGATGCAGGGACATGGAGAGTGAGACGGAGATGGAGAGGTGGATATGTAAGAAGACACAGCTGGTCATTTTTAAAACAGCATGTTCCATCTTCGTGTTCATCTTTTTTACTTTTAACTTTTGTATCTGTCAGCAAGATAGTAATGAGTTTCTAAGTCAATTAAATGACTATTTCTACAAATTGCTTGTGCTGTATTAATTTATAATTCACCACAGTCTACTTAAGGCCAGATGAGATGGCAGTAAAAATCATATCTTTAATCTCCCTTCAGCTGAGCTCTCTACTGTGGATATACAGTAGATCATTTCTCCAGAGGGGGCTAACTATGAGCCTGTTTACACCTGTTATTAATATGTGTCATGGGTACGTCAGTTAACACATAGCATTAGAATGCATCTCCACACAGTCATCGGATCTATGTAAATAAACACAGACATCATTCCCGTTTGCAAGGATCAAATGTGTTGTTGTTTTTAACCCATGGCTTCACATTAGTGGCTAATTTTACAAGGAGTCCTAAATTATTAGAATTTGTTGTAGAAAGCATTTCACAAAGTTTATGAACTTTCACAAAACTGAACAACTCACAAAATGACTGACACCGATGATCTTTTTACAAGGAAAGAAATGAAATATATTGGGTTTAATGCAGAATTTACAAGGAGACGTGAAGAATTTGTTTATTATAGGACCAATGTGTAGGATTTAGTGGCATCTAGTGGTGAAGTTGCAGATTGCAACTACTGCATGCATCTGTATTTGACAACCTGGTAATGAGATTCAGCTGTGAAGTATGTAGGAAAAACTATGATGGCTGAGAAACTCAGAAGGCTCTATCTACAGCCAGTGTTTGGTTTGTCCATTCTGGACTACTGTAGAAACATGGCAGTTCAATATGGTGGCGTCCATGGAAGGCATCTAAGGTAACAAAAACACAGATTCCTATATTTAGGTTATTATACTCTACTACTATTAATGAAAACATACTTATGAATATTATGTATTACATTCCCACTCTGCCATAGGATCCTCCTCTTAAATGTTACACTGGACCTTTAGGTTTCTCCTCATTCAACAACTCTCAAAATATTTTGGGGGATATGCCGTTACTCGTTTAGCCCAGCTGTCATTCACACTTAATGGTATCCACTGTTTTAACCCACAGGGGATACAACAGTTCAAGCAGAATTTGTAAGGAGGATGTAAACTCTTAATACAATTTAAATCCTAGTTTTGTATGCCATTTTGGACAGTTTGGGTAGCGTAGATTGACAAGTGATTTCCATGTTTTTACAGATGAATAAATTGAACCTATAACCTTGGAAAGGGCTGGGAGTTGGCTCTGCTGTAATTGGGTCAAAGAAAGAGGATGTGGATTACTGGTTGGCCCCCATGTGGATAAGATCAGATGGGTTGTTGCTTTGTAGTCCGCTCACGTCATATGGGATGGAAGGTAGTTCACAGGAAGATTCTCATTGTTACAACATGCATGTTTCATACCATCAGACAACTGATGCAGAGGCAGAGCAGGTTGTTCCTCAATCGGAAGGTTGTGGGTTCGATCCCCGGCTCCTGGTGCCACATGTCGAAGTATCCTTGAGCAAGATACTGAACCCCGAATTGCTCCCGATGCCGTGCTTCGGTGTGTGAGTGTGTATGAATGTTAGTTTCTGTTCGATGGACTTTGCCATCACTGAGTGAATGTGTGTGAAAGGGTGAATGTGGCACATAGTGTAAAAGCGCTTTGAGTGGTCGGAAGACTAGAAAGGCGCTATACAAGTACAGGTCCAGTTACCATTTACCATTTAGACATAGTGAATAATGATGTAGAACCTGAACCAGTATTTAGTCATCTAGGAGTGTGTGTATATATACAACTTTATATGCTGATATTAATATACATGTATTGTGATATAGCAAACCTTCTGGAAATACAATCAAGAAACTTTATGCAGATATTATTAAAATAATGACTTTTTCTTATTCCTTTTGTAACATTTTCTAGATGGTCCTTTAGATACGATGGATGATGTAAAGCAGTTCTTACAAATTATCTCGCTGAAACTCGCTCTGCTTCCTCCGTTTCATGTGTCTCCTGTTCCTGCCTGAACCCACCATGTTTTCATCCCCAGAGTCAGAGTCTTGGTCGGAGCCACTGCAAATCAGCTAGCCTCCGTTGGCCTTGTAGGCTGTGACCTCGAGTCCCGTTGCACACTCGCCCCGCTTTGGTTCTGTCATACATTCCGGCTGCTATGTTAGTAGTATTTAAACTCTCCCTGTCCTTGTAGCTTATAGGACAGCTAAGTAGCTGGAAGCTAGTAGCTAGTAAAGTTAGCATATGCAACAGTGCACCAGTGCATCAACTAAGACAATTGTCACCAACTAACGGTTAAGTCTAAATTAAATCTATTAGGGGGCAGCCCTAGATCAAATACTGCCAGAAATGGACAGCTACTGTGTGAGCAGTATGGTAACCCCCTCTATAATAACTGATCAATGGCCATGGACTCATATTTAGCAACCCTACTAACAGTGATCTAATATTGCATGATGGTCAGAGTTGGCCATGTGAGAATTATTGTGCATTTACTAAATTAGCATTACTTTAGCACTGAAGAATGAACTCAGTTTGACCTCCAGAAAGCCATCTCTGAGGATCCGATAGTGCTCTTTATCCAGCAGTACAGTACTAAACAACTACTGCATCAGAAAGAAAGCACAATGATGCTTTGTATTTCATAAAACATATCCACTATCGATATCAGTGCTAGGAATTAATAGCTAAGAGAAACCAAGAAGTAGACGACAAAGAGACCATTCATAAGAAAACTTCAGAGTGGTCCGAAAAGGATTTGGTGCTGTGGTTTGAGGGATTATAGAAACTGGTTGGTTTGATGAGATGGCCTTTTAAGTTTAAATGACAACTCACGTGTCCCTCCTTCATTCAGTAGCCTTGCGTCACACTCAACAACTGCCACGACTCAACATTATGGCACAAATGGGATTTACAGTGGCTTCTTAACTCCCCTCCTCTTTTAGAGATTATACTTTTTTCAGTAAGAATGCTGCAGAAACGAGAAAAAAGCTGATAGCCCTTCATAGTAAAAATATACAGTGATACATTGGCTTTTCAAGTATCAAAATTGTGTTGTTTTTTGTTGGGATTTGTATTCAAAAATGTTAAAAATAAATCTCTGGTTTCATGGTTGGTCCAAACACCAGTGAGTTTCCTCATTTTCTGATCTTTTTTTCTTTTTACCAATCTTTTCATCCTCTTTCATTTCTCATTCTCTCTTTATCTGCCCTCTCTTCTCCAGAAAATGAGTCAGGAGTTTGAGATTAAGCGGCTGTCATTGGAGGAGCAACGAGACCGCCTTCAGCAGCAACTTGACAACTTGAAAGAGGAGCTCTCGGCCAAGCTCAATATGGCCAATCAAGAGGTACGAAACATCAATTCAACTCCACTTAACATTCCTAAAATGTAACCAAATTATTCTCCTGATAATGCAATAACTCTCTGCCTGCTGATCTCCTTAGGTGTCCCACCTCCAGGAGTTGGTGAGGGAGGGGGAGCAGAACCTGGGTTCAGCTCAGACGCAGATCACCTGTCTGAGGGAAACGCAGGAGAAACTCCGGATAGAACTAGACGCAACTAGATCCCGAGTCCGAGAGACCAGCAACCTGCTTACCGACCTACAGGTGAGGAAAATACTGAAGATACAACAAAGGGGATTTAGAGTTTAGTGGAACCTCATTCCAGGTTTAATTTTTTCTTAATAATTTCCAGTTGCAAAATCAGAATAAGAGGGCGCAAGAAGATGGTGTAATTAGCGTGAAGAACAAAACAGAAAACAGGATGGAAATATGACATTTTTATAAGTTTCATGTATTGATGTGAAGAAGGTTTCAGTGGAGCGATATGAGAAATATTAACAAAAAAAGTTACAGGAAGGGTCACTGGCCAGAACCTAGCACGGCAGGCATCATTTCTATTGTAGCTCTTATGTGTTAATGTCAAATAAGTATGGTGGTTGATTTACTTCATCCAACCATCTCCCCTGTCTTTGCTCCAGAGCTAAGCAGTCACACCACTCCACATACTCATTCGGGGAAGGCCTGCAAAGACGAGTACAAGTTCTGAGTACAGAAATAGCAGTATAATGTCGTCTTTTTTCTTGAAAAACTTTGAACATTTTACCTACCTTAGTTGGTATGACATATCCCTGTGGCAATCCAAGGGAGAAAAGCAAAAGGTTTTATGCTCTGCTGACTACAACTCTGTTTTCTGTGAGTTGAAGTGCGTAATTCATGGAATATAACGATAAACCAAACAACAGTGTTACAGGAGTACTTTTTTAAATGCAAAAGAATGAGGCCAAAGCTGAGAAAACTTTAGGTGTGATGTTGTAGTTCCCCGACAGTATGACGAGCATACTGCAGGGGTCCAGCTGGTCGCTGTTGACCTTGGTTATGAGTCGTCACCATCTGCTGTTTCATGTTTGTTTGACTGTATTTTTCTTTTGCTGTTGGCTTTTTTGCTGATCTGCTTGACCTCGTTCACCTCCATTTTATATCATGAAGAGTCAAGGACTAAGTTTAAATACAATCAGAGTCTGAGAACGTAGAAACCTGCTGAGTCACTCACATCCAAAGACACTAAGACCTGTACGGGCTAAATGTGGATTTGTGGAGTTTAAATGAAGAGAAGACAGCTGGGCTCTGAGTGAGCTATTGGCAGCTATATACAGTGAGACTTTTCTGTTGAGTCACAGAAGATGCCCGTCTCTGATTCATCTGATTCTGCACACTGTCACCTGTACTCACTTTATTTCATTTAGACCTCTCAGTCAGTAGACGTTCATCGGGTAAGATTCAATTGAACTGAAATGAGTACGTTATTAAATTAAGTATAAGTGACAGTTTGCAGGGGTTTCTGGTTCTTTTTCATTTCTCAGTTTTGAGTTTTTGGTTTTTTGCAGTGTGTAAGAAGAAGTTCATACCTGATGGACCTGACTGTGTTGCACATGTAATAAATCAGAAATCCTATAACCAGATAGAACCCGATCGATATTCAAGTTAAATATTCTTTAACATGCCGCCACAGTATTGTAAACCAGAGGTCAGTCTGATGAGGATAAACTTTGCAGTGACACTAATGTATAACCACAAGCGTTTTGTTTCCTGCATTATATACTGGAAAATACAGTTTTCATATTGACTCATATTAGATAACATATACACCGATACCAATACAATAGCGATATGTCTGCAATAGGCCAATATTGGCTCTTTTGCCTGTATCCACAGTGAAAATGGTCTCAGTATTATAGGCAGTGCCTGAATTGGACCAAAAAAGGTGCCAGTCCCCTTATTCAACACAACCCTAACCACAACATAACCCTAACTTTGAGAGCATTTGAATTAGAAAGTACAGTTCTTGTCAGGGTTAAGGGTGCAATCTTAAGTCTGTCTCGATTAGACTTGATAACTGTTACCTGTTTTACAGGTAGTCACAAGTCACTTGACGAATCAGTTGTTCAGTCTTCAGCCAGTCAACCTGTCAGCCAGTAATTAGCTTTATCACCTGCAGTAGGAGGTCAAAGTGAGTCAGTAAGTCAGTCAGTCACACAGTCGGATGTCAACTGGTCAGCCAGTCAAACAAACTTCAATTGCTGGTTTTTGAAATTAGCTCCTCTGAAGTTTCAGCAAAGCAAGAGTGAGATAAAGAGGAAGGAAGGAGAGATGGGAGAGTGGAAGAAGATTTTGAATGCAGGAAATGAGATTTAACTGAGGAATAAGTGCAGTACTGAAGGCCAGCTGTGAGATAATGATGATGAGGCTGTTATGAGTTGAGTGGTCCTGTGTTTAAAAAGAGCCCTGCTGGTATGAGCGGCGGGAAGAGTGTGTGTGTGTGTGTGTGTGTGTGTGTGTGTCAGAGAATATGGTCTATGTGTGTGTAAGAGAGGGAGGGAGAGAAACTGGTTGTTATTATTAATAATATTATTCATATTAAAAATAATAATTCTAATATCTAGGCACTTGTTGGAAGTTGAATCATTGCAGCATCAAAATATGACACAACAAAACAGGTTGAAATGTAAATAAAATTAAGCAAATGAATTGAACTTAACCCAGTCAGCAACAACAATGCGCTCAAAGAGGAAGTTAGAATATGAATGAGTGAAAAAGTCACAGCTGGTGGAAAGTCGCACATAAAATCAGTGAATAAAATCAGCCCAATAAAAGAGAGAAAGGGGGTGATAAAAGAGGACATAGAGGCTGAATGAGGAGTGATAATTAGATGAAATTGCAGAGTGGTGCTCTTTGCTTTCCCACCACAGCCTGGCTTCTATAAAAAGAAAGGATTTGGACTGTTTAAAAAAGCCAAGCCTAACACAGGATTGTATCTTGTATTCACGCTGAGCTCATTGCAGGAAAGACACAAGTGCTGAGCCGGCCGAGCTCTGAATTCAGACCAGCTATTGTTTCGAAGGACATGAACCCTTGAGCAGCTTATCGCTTTTATGTATATAAGTGGACAGTAAAAAGAACTCAAAAAGTTCAGTTAAACTTTTGTCAATTTATAAAATGAAATTGTAAAAAATATAAAGGGATTTTTTTCCCACAAATAGATAATAATAATAATAATGATAATAATAATCCAGCACTGATTGTTAGAAAAATGTGTATTTAAAAATGTGCACCAGCGTGTAGGATATAGTGCCATCCAGCAGCAGCCGCAAATTGCGACTAACTGAATACTGCTCGCCTTCCAAGTATATAGGAGAAACTATGGTAGATGTTAAACTTGTACAAAAATCTAAAAGGTCCTATCTAGAGCTAGTGTTTGGTTTGTCTGTTCTGGGCTACTGTAGAAACATGGTCATTCGGCCCGCTCCCTCTGTAGATAAAAACAGCTATTTCTGCCAAAGGATCCTCCTAAATGGACCTTTTAAGTAAGTTAGTTAGTTAACCTTTATACTTACTAACTTACTACCATTTGACTTATAATAATCAGCATTTCTACTGGGGCTATGTATTGCTAAAAATCTGGTTATACGTATCACAATACAGGGGTTATAATTCAGTATATTATGAGCAAGTCTATATATTTGGTGTTACAGAAAACTTTCATATGCAACCATAACAGTGGGATCTGCATTTGAATTCATCACAGTCCCTGTAACATCCAGCATCATAGCAGTGTACGTTTACACTGCTATCTAGCTGTTGGGGGTTTAAACACAAAATGGGACACCACAAAACAAAATATCACGATAGTGATAGTGTGAAGTGTATTGATATTTTCTTACAACCCTACATATACTTAACATTGATGTATTTGTATTTTTTTTCACCACTAGCATTAAGAAAGGCATGGTTGAACTGCTGGGTGAGTGTGTCTGAATGGCTGTAGGCTCTGACATATCATTGGATGAACATGCCAATCCAAACTGAAGGCTCAAACTACTGCAAGTGAGGCAGTTTTATGTGTCACACAGTCTGCAGATTTTCTGTCTTCAAAAATATCATTTGTTGTTTACATGACTCAATCAGGATACATGTCACAGTACAATGAAATTATTCAAATTATTATCATCAAATTGCAGGGCTCAGTTACAGTGACTCATCTCCACTGAGTGCCTCTTCTGTTTTGTCTCAAATGCTGATGAGACCATTAGTCACCTTATCTGAGAAATCCAGCTCAGCGTGGCCCAAACTATAAATATCCAAACCCCAGATAACACTGTATTAAAAAATGAAAAATGGCTACAGAGAGTCAGCAACAGTCAGAGGCAGCAGATTATACTGTATCTTGCTTTCAATTGGCAGATGTTTGTTAAAACATATTCATATCACCATATTATTAATATGTACTGTGGAAACCTTTTCTGGAATATCACTAAAGAATCTGATACTGATACTGAGAATATGCAGATGTGAATCTCCCTACATCCCTACCAGACACTACAGTGATGACAAATACCACAGGGTTTCTTTTTTTTTTTTTCTGCATATTTACATTCACTGAAATGGAAAATGTCTTCTTGAACATAATTTCTGTGATCCTAAACAGTCAAGTCTGGATTTAACCACTCAAGCAAAACTTTACCTCAGAGCTGAAGAGAAGAGCTTTTAGGCCTTTTAATGAAGTCATGAGCAGATAAACCCCGGAGCCTCTTCAGCAGCTGGAAACAGCTGACCTGGTGAAGTTAGTTTCTGCCTCGGAACCAGCACATTATAAATGCCCTGTAGCCATGGCATTATAAATAGATGTGGAGGTGGGCATCATGAGTCATCCAGCGTTCAGCTATTGAAATGCTGCATCTGGGATAGCAAATTGAGGTTTTATGAAAATGTTCATATGTGTAGTAGTTTTACAGTTTTTGTTATTGATTAGGATTTAGGACTCTGCAAAAGACTTTATAACATAACCATCACTTTATTTGACCATATATACATTTTAGGCTCATACACTATTACCCTTTTTGGACTTTGAGTCCTTAGTTTTTGAAGTGGGTTTGTATGTATGTATGTATGTATGTATGTATGCTCACCTCTTCCATCACTGTTGTACATTAGTGATTAATGACTTTCATGTTCTTTTCCCATTCTTTATCATTATTTTTGAAAATAAATTGCTTTCAAATTGTAACTCATCTGGTCTTCCATCTTTGTCACAGCCTAAGTGCCAGGATTTGAATCCAAGAACTCTCGCACCCACTTCAAAAAAAACAAACTACCCCTTTAAACTGAAGTATAAAATAGTTATTTACACTCTTATCCCAACATACAGACTTAATTATCTCATGATTTCAAGCCATTAAATGGTGATTGTGACTGCACCAGTGAGTAAGGACAGCCATTATCCTGAGATACTCTAATGACACATTTAGGTCCTCATAACAAAAACACTGTGTGTAGTATGTTGAGACAACGTAAGAATAAAATCTTGGGATAACAGCATAAAAATAAAAAAAGAGATCAGCTATTATCTTGAAACTTAACTTGAAAAAAATTTATGTGAAAACAATGAATATTTTGGCCTGATGAGAAGTATTATCTGTAACAACTCAGTAAAAAACAAGATGTGGACTTGAATGCATAACTGAAAAGCTGGCAATCATTGAGAATGAATAATCATTTAAATACGTGAACAACGGCGCATATTTTCAGACGGTCTCACCTTGAAGACATTCATAGTGTTGTGCTCAGTTGTTCGCATGAAAAGCGACAGAAATACTTGTGTGAAGAATAAAAAAACAAAAGAGAGAAAAGTTCAAACCCTGACTCCCATCTCACCTCCACAAGTTTGGCCAATTATTGTGTGAGGTGTGTGTGAATGTGTGAAGTGTTGGTTTCAGAAAGTTACAGTAATGAGCAGATTGAACTCAGTATTGCAGCTAAAAAATGTGCGCCTTTTTGTGTTCATAGGAGGAGATCGAGACCCAGAGACAGCAGCACGAGGCCAGAGTGATGTCCATCAGAACAGAAGAGAAACAGAAGATGGACAAGATGGCGGATGACTTGGACCAGAAATGGAGAGATGCACTGCGGTAAAGGAAAAAAAGGAAGCTCTCTCCTCATATGTCTCAGACCCTGTGCTTTTGCTCTTTCCATTTGTTTTCTCATTCATCACTGTCATCTCTCGCCCCCTCCGCTTCACAATCACTCTTGTTATTAGCATCACAAGTCAACATGTTTTGACAAAGCAGGCATAGATATTAATAGGAACGGAGAGGAAATTAACAATATCCACACCAAGTTTATAGATACATACTTACAGGTAACCTTTAGCAGGACAAAATGAAGCACAATGCACACACTGACACAAATGCAATCAAATGTCACACTCTGCCTGTCTCTCTGTAGGGAAGAGGTGCGTCTTTTGAAGGAGGAGTTGACTGAAGAGTATGAAGCAGACAAACAGGCGACGTTGACTCAGATCTCCCAGCAGAAAGAACTGGAGATGATGGCGACAAGAGAGGGTTGGCAGAGGAAGGTGGAAGACCTGCTGGAACAGGTAAAACATAATACACATACACAGTTTGGGTGGGGCTTTTGCAAATATCATTAGGAGCTGTAGTTTGACCACGAAACTTTCATTTAAACCGCTGTGGTTGAAAGCGATTTCTATCTATTCCCTGGCTTTGATAGAAATAGGGGCACCCTAAACCTGACCTTTACCGCCCCCATCCACCCACTTTGGGAACCACTTTGATTGACAGCTCCACTCGATGTAGACAGCCTGGATTAAGAATAGTGTCTGTCCGAGGAGAGATCTATCTCACACGCACACTCTCACAGGCTTTGCTGCCTCAAACTGTGTCTGTGAATGTGATTAACACTGATGCCATAAACAACCACTTCACCTTTACAATTTACATAATTCCCACAACAACAATAAATCGGGCCTGAAAAGACTAAAGGATTTAACTTCTCATCCCGTTTACCAATTTCAGAGCGATGCAGAATGAAAAGAACAGCTTCTGTTTTTTTAATTAGGTTTTCCCAAAGCCATATCTCTCAGCCAAGTGATCCTCATACACATATGTGCTGTACATACACATACACACAGAAGAAGATCTGATGCTTTAAAAATAATAGGCTTCTCCTTCTAGCTACATTGCTAAAGAATTTTTGTAATGGGAGTGAAAAGTGGAAATGAGCAGAGCTGCTCAGGTCAGAATTAAAGCTCTGTAGCAAGAGAGAGAACCATTTGATGCTGGGCTGAAAGCTCAGACACTTGTCTACTTATACTCTTGTAGCCTACCGTGCTGAGCATACTGCCTCTGGGTAATTCCGAGCTCAGCTAAGTAACAACTGAAACCTCAAAGAGGCTCGTCCTGATTTCGCCAAGACACCAGTGACCTCAGATAAACAGTTTCTGACGAGTCAGAGCCAGCGACCACTGTTGCCAGTTTGCCAACTTGCCAACGCTCTGAACCCACCACCCCCCAATCCATGGCAAAAGCAGCTCATGGTAAAACGCTACGCTGTAAAAGGAACAATCTGACTTTGTAGGAAATCCTCTTGTTTGTCTTTTAAACACAAAGTCACACAAGGGAAACGTTGTTAGTTTTAGGCCCAATTTTTGCTATTTTTATTAAAATATTTAAGTTTACTGCAATGAAATGACACCAAGGAAAGAATCAAGGGAATGTATTCATCATTATACCATGGAAAATTGTATAATGAAATAAAGCTTGTAGTTCCGTCATGCTACACATAAAAAAAACTTTAATTCATAGAATAACATAGAAAAGACTAAAATAAACCAATAAATACAGTTATTCACACACATATATACACCTAGGAAATAATTCTGCAGTGCTTTTGCTTCTGGGGGAATGTAAACAGTAGTAACAACACAGTGATGATAATATGGTTTCACATAAAAAGAAACTGTCCATCCATTTTGACTGCGCTTGAGCACCAATCATCATCGATATAAACACAGAGTCCGTCTCTTCTCTCCTGGTCCAGTCAATTTGAACAATTTTGGCTCAGCCCTTAAAGATCAAACCCAATTCAGCAGAAATACAAATTAAAAAATTGTGATGATGTGACTAGGGTGTGGGATAGTGATAAATCTGCAGTTATATAAATTATATCAATCGATTGGGTCTACAAAATGTCAGATTTTTTTTATCCATCAACTAATTGATTAACGGACTAATGCTTTCAGTTTTACGCGTGACAATAACATTTGGAAGACAGTGAGGACAAGGTAAATTGATCTAATCATTAAAACATAATTTTAGTGAGCCTTATCTAAATCTGCTACATTGGTTTTGGTATCTGTGTAAATATGAGTTTGTACAAAATGTTGCTTGTGTCTGAAAATAAACATCAAACAATGTCACAGACCAAATACCTAAGGAGCTTACACTCTGTGTGCGTATGTACGTGTGTGTTTGAGTGTGCGTCTGTGATGCCTCCGTGTGTTTTGTCTCATCAAAGGGCTTCGCTGCATTGTGTTTTTTTCTTTTCTTTTTTTGGTTTTAGCTACATGAGAACACAGCCCTCTGAAGTTCATGTATATGAGTGTGTGTGCTGTAGAGAGCGTCACCAAATTAATTATTGTGCATGTATGCGCCGTTAAGTATACTATTATTGCTATTCTTGCATACATACTATTCATCTTCATGTTATTATAAATTATCGAGATAATTCAGTTACAGCCAGCTGTATGTTCTAAGAAAGCCAAAGTCTGTTTTTTTAATGAAATTAACTGGGAAAAATAAATGAACAGAGTCAGAACTGTTGTTTATTGTTGTGTTAAAAATAGAGACCATGATATGCTGAAAGAATACCACTGATCTTAAGGTAGTATTCAACAAAATAGGGAATACACTTACCCATTTTTTGGGTAAGAAATAGTCCTCCCCCAAACCTTGTCATTTTTACACTTTTTTTTTTTGATCGGATTAAACAAACAAAATAACACATGTTAATTAGTGATCTTAAGGTGTGCAGTCTTTGTACTAAACTAAGCTAACCAGCTGTTAGCTGCAGCTTCACTTTGAACAGACAGACTTGAGAGTGGTGATCGACCGTCTCATCTAACTCTGGGCGCAAAGATAAATAAACAGTATTTTCCAAAAAGCCTAACTATTCCTTTGAAGGCAACAAGACATCAGCTGGAAAAACATATGTTATATTTATGTAAAAATTTATTCAAACTCCAAGGATAATAATAATAATAATAATAATAATAATAATAATAATAATAATGTTTGGCTTTCTGTCTAAAGCTGTGCCTATAATAACCATTAATAATTCCTAAAAGAGTTAAGATGTTTTAACACCTTGACTATGTGCAAGATTAGTCAATTAATCCAATGGTGGACTGACAGAAAAATGATCAGCACCAATTCTGAAAATTGAGTAAAACAAGGAAATAGAAGATTTTGGCAAATTGCGATTGGCATGGATCAAACAGAAAATCATCAAATCAATATGAACATTTTTATTTATATAATCCATAAACAGCACTTGCATTTATATATACCTTTTTATTTAAACTCTAACCTCATTGAGGGCTCATTTACAATGATGTTAAGTAACATTTTAAAATGACAAAAAATATACAAGATATAAAAAAAAATAGATAAGTCATCTATTCAAATAGCGCGGTATTTGTATTTGGAAACCCTCTCTGCGTTGAATCCTTGTACAGTTGAAATACAAAAGTTTTACTAACAGTATCACTTACAACATGAACTTAGTTTTCTGTGAATACATCACAAGTTTAAGATTAATGAGTGCAGTTTGAAGAATATTAAAAGAATGTGGTAGGTTCTCCACAGTAAGCTGGATGGAATCTGCAATGCAATACAATATTTTATTATCTGCATGTAATTATATATAGCAGTTAGTTAAAAGTGAAATATTGTAAAAAAAAAAAAAAAAAAAAAAGTGGACCTAAAATTGAACCCTGTGGAACACCCTTCATTATCGGTTAAAACTCTGAACGACTAACACCCAACCAGGTAATTTACTCTACTGTATGAATTTATCCCTAATGACAAGATGTTCTTGATTCTATGTCAGTTTGCCACAAACACATTGTTATTTATTACGTTATTTTCAAACCAAAATCTTTTAAATTATATTCACCCTATAAAGCAAATTCACACTTTGTACCTCAGTACTGGTAGGCATTCCTGTACATAATATAAATATTTACAGATTTACATGTGGGCATGCATACACAGCATGTTGAAACAGGCAGACAGCAGCCATTCTGCTAGTTTAGGCTGATGTGGAGACAAATGGAAACAGGTATAACTACAGTGATCTGCACTGTATTGACCTACTTACAGCTCTACTGAAACACCAGCAGAGATGAGACTCGACTACGACGCAGGGAGACACTCGTGCTCCCCTCAGATAAAACACGTCACTTTACATTTTCAAGAGTCAAGCAGCTTGTACTGTTCACGAATGATCCATGATTGAAACTAACAGCTGTCAAAGTGACAACAGAAAGTGTCTTGTATGATGGAGTTATCAACTATATTAAAAAAATGTGTAGCTGCTTCGTGATGCAGTAGCTTCCCAAATAGCCTCAACCACAAAGAGAACCAGGCTCTTATTTCCAAACAGGCCTATATTAGAGACACTATTTATTCCTAATCTTCCTTGTTTTTTATATTCTATCACATTTTTGTAAACATATCCCCAGTTTTTTGGTATTTAACAACACTTCCTCCATGTTTCTTTACTAATTCAGGTAACCACATATTTCCACAACAGAATCATCTCATAGCCACCACTATGGTGCTCTGAGCTTTTTGTTTTTAATTTAAACACTACTTTCATTCACTAATTAATCCCATTCGCAGCTGCTTTGCTGTTATTTTGTACAGTGTTAAGCGACTGTCCATGAAACTCAACATTTCCTGCACAGTTCTTTCACATTAAAAGGCTTCAAGCAGTTGAAATGGGATTATCCCTTGCTTTCCTGGTGGGCTTTTGATGTGAAAGTGCTGAGTTTCACTGACAGTAGCTTAACACAAATTGGGAAAAGTATATACGATTTGTATTGATTGTCTTTTATTTGGACTTATTGTCTAATTTTTAAGTCTTACAAAATTCTATTTATTGTTTTGTTTTTTGTTTTTACTTTTTGTTTTAATCCTGCTCTGTGAAGCACTTTGGGCTGCATGAAAGGTGCTATATAAACTGAGTTTAGTTGAGTTAAAAATGAGAGCTTGCTGTTTGATGCATTTCATGCTGTGGAAATGTACATTACTGTATCCTGAATTCGCCATGTTACGTCACCCCAAATTGAAATGACAAACTTTATTAATGCCAGTGGGAAATGGCAGAATTCACTACAAACAGCAACGAAAGAAGCAGAAAATAATAAAACCCAATAGAAATAGAGTCCCTCCAAACTTTTTCCTTCTTCAGAATTGACTTTGACATTTCTGTATGTGTGTCTCTCTTCTACTGTGATTTAAGGGTCAGTGTTGAGGTAATGACTCCAAGAAATGTTTGTTCATCAAAATTAATCCATTTATGAACATTAAAAAACCTTTGAGGTAAAGAAGCCAAACGTCAAACATGCCTGATTTAAAAATAGTACTATGGTGTCTGTCTGTAGGTCAAACCAGCCACCAGCCTTGCGCACCTGATTAAGTGGCAGGGAAATGATTTACTGGATATTAAACTCCCTAACTGAGCCAAGTGTCTCTGTTGTTTTGTGTGTGTGGCTGGATGTGCCGTCTTTATCTATAATGACTTCTTTTTCATTAAGATATTTTCATTACAAGGTTCTAGCCCCAGGCTGCTGTTTGTGTGTGTCGCTGTGTGCGCATGAGAGTGTGTTTAATTAAAGACATCAAGGGTTAGACACATGCACTGCAGGTTGTTTAAGGTATTTCCACCTTTTTAATCGTGTATGCCCAGTTATTTCTCTGTCAGTGTAAAAATGATTCATTGTAGCAGACAGATGCACACACACAGGAAGGGAGGAGGAGGATATACTGTATAGGTCATCTGTCTGTCTTTTTAAATCCATATCCAGGGTAAAACCCCACAACCTTCATCCCAGCCCTGCTCCTCATCCTCTCATTTTATATCCATCTTACCTTGCAGTCACTAATGTAGTACTCCGACGGCGCTAAATCCCGCCGGGGATTTAACTGCTGGAGCTTGAGGAAGAGTGGCGTGTGGAGGACCGGAGCCGTCATGCTGAGAGAGTTCACTTAGGCCCCTAATAGTTCCAGTATCTCCTCAAAACAAAACTGTTTTGTGTGCTCTGATGGGGCTTACGCTATTTTGCTTTTTGTTATTTGGCTGCGTGTGCTGACACTCACCGCCTGACAGGCTGTCGGCTCACTGAGACGAGCTGCTCTCAGCACTCACAGTGTTTGGCTCATATACATATGTCGATAACACCACCAGTGAGTAGCTGTCAAAAAATCTCGACTGAAGTAAAAACAATATGTAAAGAAACATTTTCATGTGAGGATTAAAGAAGGAAAGACAGACGCAAGAGGAAACACAGAGATGTTTTTAATGTTGACCTAATTACACATGCAGTAAATTAAACATGTTTTTTCCTAGAGATTCATGTTTCTAAAACGACTAAAGCCATTTCCTCAAAAGAAGAAATTGAGTGTGAAGTTGCTGCACACAAACAAAGCCAGTGAGAGATAGAGAACACGTCGTCACTGCTGCTCACTGTATAATTACTGTTTTTATGTCGAGGGTGTGGGCAAACTGACCTGTCGATGTCTGTTGTCTGTCAGCAAGCCTGGTACTTATATAACTGCTCTGCTCTTCAGCATGAACCAGTAATTTTATCTGCTGCTCTTTGTTTTTTCTCCCTCTCTCTCTGGTCAGATCTCTCTGTTGAAGCAGTCCCTGGAGCTGCAGTTGTCTCAGTCCCAGTCAGCTCTGCAGCAGCTGCAGTCTCAGTTCAACCAGGAGAGGGAGCTGCTGACCCAACAGCTGAAAGGTAAGCCGGCCTATGCCCCTGTCCTCCCAAGGGGGAACTGCAGCCAGAACAGGCCGATTGTTGACAACAATTAGTAGCTTAAAGTCACATTCCTCGGGGCACATGGTAGCTCACCTTGTAGAGCGCGCGCCCCATGTAGGTTCAGTCCTTACCGCAGTAGCCTGGGTTCCATGCCAACCTGCGCAACCTGCGGCCCTTTGCTGTGTGTCACCCATCTAACTCTCACACCCCCTCTTTCCTGTCTATCCTCATCTGTCTTATCTAAAATGAAATGAAATAACAAAGCATTATGTAATTACTCTACAAAATGTAATACATTTTCACTTCGTTATGTAATTACACGCATTTTTTAATAATTTATAAACTATTGTGGTTGGTATTATGAACTGCATTTTAAATAAGCTGAAGCTTTTTGATGGTCTTTTTGAGGAGCCCTGTCAAAAGACCATTGCAGGGGGCCCACTGGTAGCTCACCTGGTAGAGCTCGCTCCCCCTGTCCTAATGCTGAGTTGGTTGTTTTTTCGTGGATTCTTGCAATGCCATTAGGAGCACTAGGAGGAACCAGAGGAACCTGATTTTTTTCACAGATTATCTCTCATGTACTACAAAGTGAAAGTTTCAGAAAAATGACAAAAAGTTAATTTTAATAAAGGTTACCTACTGCAGCTTTAAGCAGAAACAGCCACAGTGAGCTGTTAGATGAAGAGCACTGGTCGACACACGCTTATTGGGGTTTATTCGCAAACAAGCACATCTCCAACACGTCAGCAAGGGAATCAGCTCCTATTACAGCACTGTGCTGTTGTTTGGAAAACCATTCATGACTTGCACACAGCATGAGATCAGGTTGTGGTTGCTTATGCTCAGCATGATGGGAATAGACCAGTTCTTTCTTTAAAAATCTGATGCAATGAAACAGAAATTCAGGATGGGCTGAAACAAAAATGCTCCACTTGCGTTTTGGTATTTTTGTGTTCAGGGGAGACTATGGATATTGATATTTTCTACTTAATTAAGAAAATTAAATAAAATGATCTGCTTGGTATCTGGTCACACGTCGTCCAGCAGTTTGTCTAAGCCCCTGTGAGGCTGGAACAGACTGCCATGTTATCTGTCTCGTTAAACAGAGTGTACATTCTCTCTCTGTGTGTGTGTGTGTGTGTGTGTGTGTGTGTGTGTGTGTGTGTGTGTGTGTGTGTGTGTGTGTTTGCAGAGATGCAGAGAGAACATCAGAGGAGAGAGCATCGATTACAGGAGGCTCACTGCTGTGCCCTGAGCACCATGGAGGAGGCCAGACAACACCAGATAAGGGTGGGATTAACACACACACACACACACACACAAACCAAGCACGTGTGCATAAAGTCTTCATTATGTGGCTTCAGATTTGTTATGTTTACTGCAGTCACAGTCGCCTTCACAAATTTGACCGACATCAGTTTTTCTTCTGAATATTGTAGGAAGAAATAAGAGCAGGATTGTAACTTTTGAAGTATCCCCACAGCAGTACATTACAATACTCTGTCTTGTACCTCTTCCATTTGTACTTTTCCCTTTACTGCATGTAATTTAGAGATGCCAGTTACCCCTCGCCCTGCAGTCTGCTGTAAAAGCTCACTGACTCTATTGTCCAAGGAGGTTGAGGACAGGACACCACAGTTTTGACGGTCTCACCAAAACAGCAACAAGGCCACAATCCCACACTGGCTTCCCACTGGTGAACACTGCCAATTAAGGAAAGCGAGAGATAATTTAGCAAAATATGACTTTATAACCTTTTTTACATGTTGAAAATGAAACAAAAACTAAGAAAAAGGTCACACTTAAAAACAAAAATGGTCCAGTGTTTAACATTTAGAAGGATCTATTGGCAGAAATAAGGGCGGTGAAGTTGCACATTGCAACTAACACACTGGTCCTTTAAGGTTACAGTAGTTAGTGGGAACAGTAACATGAATGTTACTTTGAGTTGGCTGTCAGTAGTAGGGCTGCAACTAATGATTACTCTGTTGATCATTTTCTCGCTTAATCAATTGGGCCAACTAATCAATTGCTTTTCTAATTGTTGCAGCTCTAATCAGTAGATCAATAGTATTTTAATGAAAAGTGAGTAATACCAGCTTCTGAACGCAGCTCATGGCACCTTTTAAGCTAACCTTACCATAGACAACTACAATACATGCAACCATTGTAACTGCACATCAAAGCAGCTGTTGCCTCAGTGTGCTTAGGACACATAATAATTAAAAACGCAAAATGACACTAAAATGAGATTAAAATAGATTTTTGTAAAATTGACTTAAAATCAGAAGCCGAACTCAACATAGTGTTGCGAGCTGGATGCACCGTTGCTTGGGATTAAACTGGCGTCCCTGCAGCGATGCACGAGTGCGGTTTCCTCTGAGCTGAGACACTTTAGTTCCAGCACCTTAACTTTGGGCAGAGTCAGTTGAAAATGTGCTCATTATGTGCCTGTTGTGACACTGTGCACCTGTGAAAATGCGCTTTACAGTACAAAGCAGTGCCGCTGCTGTACCTATTTTTACTGTGTTCTCATCTGCTTGTTTTGTGTAGCAGTCTGATCAGCAAAAGTCTTTAAAACAGTGTTTCTGGTGCAAGATGAGCTGCTCAGTATGAGGACTGTAAAATGGAAGATTGTCTCTGACATGGAACTTGATTAGTTGTCCTGGGATTCTCTACTGCGCGACATTATCCTGACGTTTTTTCCTCCCGAGAGGAAATTATACCTTCATACGGTTTGAAGAGTGCAGGAGTCAGTGTTCCAATTTAGTCTACAGCACACTAATTATTTCTTTGTTTGTGTGTGTAGGAAAGAAGTAAGCCACAGTAATAATTGTGAGCCTTTGAGTGATGGTCTACAAAACAAAACACAAATAGACCAAACAGTATAAGAAAAAGTTTTAGTTCTAATATGGTTGGTTTTATTTGAATCATCCACAGATAATTGGAGGTAAAAGATTCATAAAGCTATCAAATCAGCTCACAATGTTCCATTGTTGTGAAACAATTCATTAGGTTCATTTACTTTAATTTCACTCATTTCCTCGTTAAATGATATCGGAAATGAGCCAGCGTGGTAAGAGCTTATTTTAAGCTCTCATAGAATTACATTGCAGGCAGAAACATTTGAACAAAATGATTGTTGCAGCGTGTGTATGAAGGGACGTCGGCTACCTTTCAATGTTGTGTCACTTCCTCCTGGATGAGGTCATAGATCACATAATGCACCTAAATAGAAATGAGACTGTTCAGTAGGTGTGATTTCCTGCCCACAAAACAAAATAAGGGTGGTCAAAGGTCAAAGGTCACTGTGACGTCACAAACAGTGTTTTTGGTCATAATTCAAGAACTGATGACAGTATTTCACAATAGTCATAACTTCCAATTAACCAAAACTACTGCCACTGTACACATACATTATCATATATATGAGTCTGGACAGACGTGGATGTAAACTACAACTTGACTGGTTGGCGTAGTTGTAATGAACTTTGGAAGACAAACTTCACAAGCAGAAAGCAAAATATTGTTCCATTGTTTTCATACTTATTTCTTAGTTTTCTGAAACCTTGGTGGAGCTGTGTCACCAAAATCTGCTATTTGTTGGAATGTTTTGTAGCTGTAAGCAGTTCCTCTATGTCTTTCATGCAGTGCATTGTGGGACAATTGGTGTCCATCAACTGTGTTGTTGATGCACACTCAATAAACAAGAGGATTTAGCCTGCATACTTACTGTTTTGAGTGTAATTAATTTTTTTGAATTATAGTTTTTGGTCACAGCTACAGTGTTCATTTTTGCTCATTGTTTTTCTTCTGGGTTTAATTTCCCAACAACATGGCTCCATAAATGCAATGCTTTTTTTTCAGCCAGCTCTCAAGCGGCTCAAATATTTTATGTCAAAGCATCCTGTGGGTTCTGAAATGCAACACTACTCACAACTGTGTCACCACTTGTAAAAACATACATTTGATGGATTAAATCACCTCTCCTCCCTTCCCATCCTCCTCTCTCCCCTCCTCCCTCTCTTCTCTGCCCTGTGCCAGGCTCTGGAGGAGCGTCTGAAGCAGGAGCAGAGGGAGGAGGTTCACGCTCTGAAGGAGGCCCACAGGAGGACTTTAGACATCCTGAGGCAGCAGTCGGACCAGGAGCTGCAGACACTGCGCTTTGAACTGGAGGATGAGGGGAAAGCAAAGCTGGGTGAATGATAACACACATGAAAAACAAACCATTTTCATTATGTTTCCATCCACAAGGACAACCTCTCTCCTTGCGACATGATTTTCAAATTACATCAATGACTTTTCTACCCTCAGCGAAGATGTTTCTACCCACGGTGATACTGTTTGTACCTGCTGTGATGCTTATGGGCATCTTCATTCTCCATCTCCTGACTATTAAAGAATGGAAGGAAACACAGCCACCCATGAGCAAAGAGGCGATGCATCCCTCTGCAAGACATTTGAGTTCACGGGTTGAATTTTAAAAGAGCTGTTAAGGAAATCAGCATTTAAGAAGAGTAATAAGCAATAGCTAATAACACTGGGACTTAGAATGACTTTTACACACTACTTTTCGCAACAGTTTCTGTGTTAGAGTGTAAAGATGTTATAAAAGGTTCCCTGGATTTCTTTGCACTGATAATCCTAGAAGCGACTGTGATCTGTGAACAAGTACAAGTAGTCAAATATCTGACATAAAGACACAGCCTGCAACAGAAGATAATTGCCTTTGATATTTAGCTGAGCATGAGATAAAATCTCTCAAAATTAGGAGGTTTTAAAGTGAAGTCAGATGATAAGGAAAAGGATTAACAAGGAGAAAAGAGGAGATACACTGTAAATTATTTATGATCTGCCCTCAGTGATGGCACTTGTACACACAATCATATTTATTCTCGCTTCTCTTTAACTCCGGTGTCTCTCTCTGGCAGCTTCTCTCCGTGCGGAACTGAACCATCTCCACGCTACAGCCATAGAGCATCTGAAGCAGATCCACCTTAAAGAAAACACTGCCACCAAGCGAGAGCTAGAGAAAGCTATGGAGCACAGCCACCAGCAGGTCACTGTGATGAAAAAAGTTTTCTTCTTTGTTCTTTTCTTGTGTTTGCATGTGACCCAGTTAACTTCCTCCGACTGACTCATTCGTCTATTTGTTCTTCTCTGTTCATATATTGCGTCTAGGAACAAGAGCTCCTGGGTCGTATCTCAGACCTGCAAGCAGAGTTGTGTTCCCGTAGCAACCGCATCACCGATCTGGACCATGAGATCCACTCTCTGAATGAGACCATCGACACTCTGACCAGAGAGCTGGAGCTGAAGGGCAAAGAGGTGCTGCGGGTCCGCAGTGAAGCTAATCATCAGATAAGGTACGTATCACCAGCACAGTTCAGTAGAGAGAGGAAGCCAAACATCAATTTCACAATAAGACACTGCCCTTGAATACTAATTCTCTAAACGTTTTCATCTGGAGATAGTTACAACATAGTCAAAATGGAAATACCCTGACTCTCTGTCCCATGGGTCAAGTCCCAAAAATCATATGGTTCCCATGATGCTATAGTATGTATTTCTAACTCACAAATTGACCATGACTAGTAACTATTTCCATGGTCCTAAATTTCAACCAAAAAAACATTAACTCCATTGATATTACAGCTAGACAATAAATTGCTCAGGCCCATATACTGGCCAATATCAACTTATTGCAGGTACAGTATAGATAGATAGATAGATAGATAGATAGATAGATAGATAGATAGATGTATCTGTAGATGTGTTGGCCGATAAATAACAAGAAACTGAAATGCAGAAATGCCAAACTAAGTTATGAGAGTCCGACCAATATAGGATTTTTGAGACCGATACCAATTTTAGAATAAACACTCACAGATGAGTTGGCCAGTATTGTACATTTTTTAGCTGGAATTGAACCTTTTCTATGTGGATTGTGAACCAATTCTAAAATGAAAAATAACTGGAATAAAGAATATTTAAGTTTATTTATTTATTTATTTATATATAAGTTAAATAACATGTTTCTTTAACATATTTTACATTTACATACATATACATTGTCAACCAATTCCAGTTGACATTGCCTCGAGCTGCTTCTTCTCTCTTACTCTGCAGCTGGCCACAGTATGGTAAATCACAGCACACTCTGCTGGATAAACTTTGCAGTAACACCCATCCTATTGTATTATATACAGGAAAAAACGGATTTCACGTCACCGCATATCAGATAACATATATGCTAATACCGATACGATACCGATGTGTGTGCAACAGGCCAGTTTCGGCCGACTGATATATTGGTCGGGCTCTAGAGGTTTTTTGCATACAGTGTCATCATAACTCAGTTAGCATTCAGAGAGCACTGACAAAATGTAACACTCAGTATGTATGTGAGTGTGTCTCATCCTCAGGAGTGTGTATGTGAGGGTCATTATTGGTCATGCAGGCTTTAGCAGCCTGTGCTATTAACCCTGCCTGCAGTAATTCTGGTCCTGCTCATCTGCAAGCAAGGATTAACATTGTTTTTCCTGTAGGAAAACACCCTCTTTTCGTTACTTCCTTCCTCTTCAATTGCAGACAGATAAATTAGACAGATAAAGTAGCCCTGGCTTTTTAGCATTACAAGAGACCCTTCATTCCCTCCTCCAGCTGAGTTAAGTTTGCAGCTGCACATCTTGTCGTCTTCCTCTATAATTTAGTAAAAATGCGATGTCTGTCTCATGTTTCCGTACCCGGAAATTAAGTGTATGTGAGCAGTATCCATGATGGGGAACATTTGCAGTAAAAGCCCCTAATGGCACATAAGTGATGATTAATGTGTAAACTCATGCTATTGTGAAGCACTTAAGGAAAAATGAATCCAGCACACATTAGTTCAGGTTATCTTATGTCATCTTTACATGTGACTTTCTGTAGTGTTGGTTTATTTACGAGTTTTGTCTGCCTCTGGCTCAGGGCCCATGAACAAGACCTTTCAAAGAGACATGAGAGGGACCTGGGGGAGATGAGTGTAGTCCATCACAGAGAAACACAAATCATGCTGGCTGACTTCAACAAGGCCCAGGAGGTCCTCAAAGACAAGATCTCTGCTCTACAAATATTGTAAGTCACAGAAATGTGCCTCTTGTGTCGTTCCAACTGTTTCAGCATGTTTAACACAGTCTCATAGTTCTTTTTCTAATCGCTTTCTCCTCTGTAACACACTTTGTAATAAATGTTACATACCTACCTTTCTACTTTGTTTATCAATGTGATGTCTGTGTGTCCAGGTTGGAGGGGACAGAGGAGAAGCTAAGAAACAGAGAAAGCCGACCAGAAGACCTGCACATTATCGCAGAGCTCAGAGAGATGGTCACCGAGAGAGAAGCTCTGGTCAAAAAGCTGGTGGTGAGTAGAGTGGGTGGCATCTGATGTGGGAGGTGAGATCTTAGGATGGTTGGTATTGTAAGAATATCTGAAACAAAGCTTCCACAGGAGGAAAACAGCATCACAAGCCTCCACAGAAACTTCTTATAGCACAATTTTCTCAAACAATCAAATCAGATTTCTTGGATTTTTTTAATTTTTTTAAAGTATTTTTGGGGGCTATTATTGCCTTTATGATAGTGACAGCTGAAGACAGATATTGCTGGCTGACATCACAACTGTTGCTAACAGATTTTATCATCTGGAGCTGACACTGTAATTCCAGTAGAAAAATGATTAGAGCGCTGCATATTTTCACCAAAACTGCTAAATATTAAGTGTAAAAGTTCCTTCTTGACCTTGGAGATAGTAGTTTGGCAAAATAAACTGAACAAACTGCATCTTTGGGTCTTTATCAGTTAAAAGCCCTGTAAAAAGCTAGTGGGGTTAAGATGATTTTGTAAAACTAAATACACTGAGTTTGATAATCAAAAGACTTTGGGTGGATTTTGGGTGGAGTATCACTTTAACGTGGTCTTTTTTTTTTTATAGGACGACAAGAAGTTCTACCAGTTGGAGTTGGTCAACAGAGAGACAGGGTTCAACAAGGTCTTCAATTCCAGTGCCAACGTTGGTGTAATCAACCCTCTTATCAAGGTGAGTGCCTGAAAGCCCTTGTTAGTATGAGTGCTGTGGATGTCGAGGATCACTTGGGTGTTTATGACATCATCAGCCCCTCGATTGCTCCTCAGACAGCTGGAATCACAAAGTTCCCCACATGACGGACGGTGTTCTCAGTGTAATGAATTTACATGTACAGTATGTGACCGTTTATTATGCTCAACACAGTGTGAATGCTCTTTGAATGCTCACCAGTGTTTCACCCCAAAAACACCACACTTGTAGTTCGACAATGCATCCATTGGAAAATCCAAAACAGCTGTACACATTCACAGAGAGTCTGATCCAAACATAAGTTGACATCAATGAAAAAAGTGAGCACAACCTCACTGAAGCACACACACATATACACACTAGGCCTGTCACGTTAATTATGTTATCGACTTAGCGTAAAATATAAACCATCTGTATAGCCTGTCACAATATCAACGTATAGTATGATATGTGGACATGCTGTCCAATAAGAATATTTTAGCCAACAGGATACCAGAATAAACCCTTCCAGCATATGACCTTTAAGCCTTTTATTTATTTAGGCTATTTTAATATTTTATTCAGATTCCATTGTCTGAATATTCTAAAGAATCAATATTTCATTGCTCTTTGAAAGGGTGTACTTGCATTATTATGCTTATCATGTCAGTGGCATAAAATGGCCTTGAAATGACAATAATATTGTTTATCACAATGATTTCTGGGACAATATGTCATCCAACAAAATTACTTATTGTGCTTTTAATAGCAGCAAGGCAGCCACTGCATGCAGTTTGGCACAGTTATCCCCCTTTATATACAGTTGCGAAATAATTTATCGATCATTATTAAAGGTAATAAAGGTATCTGTCATAATAATGTATCTACATCAGCAAAGCTCCAACCTTTGACCAGTGAGGGACGAGGACAACTGAATCATGCTGTATTGTCATCGTTCAACTCAAACTTTAGTTCTGTATGTCAAATTATTTTCATGTTATTCAATCGTCTTCTGGTATTTGTTATTATTACCTTCCATTCAGCCTAGTGTTTGAACACTATAAATCATCAGAGCACAAAATCATCCCATTCTACCTGAAAACCTGCTGCCTGAACATTACGCACGGCCTCCCATCAAGTGTGTCGTAAAGACTGATCTCTGTGTACAAAGCTGCTCATCATCCTTCTTACGTGTACACAGCTGGCAGACCTACTGTTTGAAAGAAGGAGGCATTCAGAAACAATAATGCTTGATTTCAGCATCATAACATCAGTTTCCTCCTCCACATGCGGGCTGTTCGTGTTAGATAACATACGCATCCTTGATTCTCTCACTTACACTTCAAAGCCCCCATGTGCATGATTAGAATACTTCTGACTTAGGCAGCTCCTAGTGGTAGTACTCTGTGATAGACAGCAATACACCTCTCTTTGCAAATCAGATCCACTTTTTAGACCACCACTATTTCAACAAAATTCATCCAGTCTCTAACTTTTATTGTTATTATCATTTTAATCGGGTTATCAGGGTTCCCTGGAACTTTAGAGACTAGTTTTCCAGGAATGGAATTGATTAAAATGACCAAATATCCTGATATCCTGGAAATAATCTCTGTCGGTAGGATGAGCTGTATGACACTTCAAAGTGGGTTTACCAGATGCAAAGTGTAACTGGCATGCAGTGATCTTTTCAGCATATTCTCAGATATTCTCATTTCTACATGCATACAGCATCACATTTCTTGTTGTTGTGGTTGACAAATACATGCACAGTCGTGTTCATTGCATGTGCAACCCGGGTTATGCAATTGGCTGCACGATGACCCTAAACAGCAATTGTCCAATCATAGCTTAGCAACTGTAACTAGGAATGGCAGGTCTGTCAAGCTTTGGATTTCTCTACATGTTATTTAATATATGAAGAGTTCGGATGCTGGTTTCTCTGCTTTTAGCTTTTCCAAACGCAATGTGTAAGGACTGGATTAAACAGTGTGGGTTTTTTTGTTGTTGTAATTGTTAGCATGCCCAGCCAAACTCCTTACCCGAGATAGTGTTACATTTAACAAACACATTGGTTAGTCCTCGTCCTCAGATCTCTTATAAAATGAACATATGAACAACAAAATAAATGCAGCTCTGTAGTACTTGGGGCCCTGGAGATGAACAAATAAACAGGCTTCACTGGCAACAAATGTATCGTCCCAGGTAGGGCAATGGAACGGCATATAGAGAATCCAGTCAATTTTCAAAATAAAACATCCTGTGCAGCCTACTTACCCATGGTAGAAGCAAAAAAAGCAAGGAAAAATGACCAATAAAAGCTTCTGAAACACTGCCGGTGGGGTATGAAGCCGTGTGGAGGATGGAACAAAACACGTCACAGAGCCATGCCCTGTGGAACCAAGTGGTCACACCGCAGAGCCCTGCTGTGTGCAAGCTGTTTATTTGTTCATTATCTCATTACTTGCTCACTTTTAGCTCAGCACTTGCCCTCGTTTGGTTTGTATGGTTTGTGGTTTTACATGTTCAACACAAAAGACAAACAGGATATCTGGCTTTGGAGTAGATGTTTTTATTAATGCAATCACAGTGGAAAGGCCAGAGTAACTGGCTTTGTCAGCTCCTGCATTCTTAAATGTAATTTCAAGTAAAGGGCTTTTTGCCTTCTGGTCACCTCTGACTGTCTGTACCACATATCGGTGGTGACAGCTGCGTATGCTCTCAGTACACAGCTGATGTAGAGATGATTTGCTCCAAACTAACACAGAATCATCTTCCCCAACCCTGCCTTTCTATGTGTGTCTGTAGTCAAAAACAGGCAGCCAATCAGATCACCGCTTCACCAGCTTTCCTAGCCAGTCAGCTCTCCGATTCGTCAGCCCTCCCACCATGAGTCATGAAGGAGAGGAAGAGGAGGGACGGGAGGTGGAGGAGGTAGGACCAGGAGGCCGCTTTGTGCCTCCTCACTCCCCCCTCCAGAGGTCCCTCCCCAGACTTAGGAAAGCCCTGCCACTGTTCAGCCCTCTTTCTCTTCCCCCTCAGCATACTCCTCCTCCTTCTCCTCCTCCTCCTTCTCCTCATCCTCCACATCATCCCATGCCAAGCCTTGCTCTTCCTCATGCTCCTCATCCTCAGGAAGCCCTGGTGCAGCATCAGGGTCTACAAAGCTTTAGGAGGTGAGAACTCACTGACTTACTGCCACTGCTGCCCTCACTTCACTTTCACTCCCATAATTCAGGGAGGGAAATACGTGATGTGTGCTGCCCCCACTGTTTGTATCTCTCACCTCACTTCTTGGTTTCCCTCCCTTCTATCCTCACCCCTTTCCCCCAAACCCAAAGAAGGGCTTATTATTAAAGGGTCTATTTAAACGTCTGTATGGAGGTGTGTGTGTGGACACACAGGAGTTACTATTTGATCCCTCAAGTTTTACTTGTACAGATGTGTCAACTTTAATACTTATGAGGTCTACACCTCACTGTCCCTCCACTGACTACCTCCATCACAGCCGAGTGACTCCCACCGGCGCAGAATAATAACGAATGTTGATCCAGTGACATCAAAGTCACATGATGTGACTGTTCACTCGGAGGTTGTATTGTAGGATTTTATCTGATTTAGGACCACAGACCATCAGAACTGGAAAAGATCTGATTCTGTGTGATTTGTGCTGTTCACACTGTCATGAAAAAACATGAACAAATGAACCCAAAAAGTGAACAGAGTCGCAGGAAGTTTGTGTAAAATGAGCAGTCTGGGTGGATTTTGAGCAAATGTCTTGGTCTTTCTTTTGAATATTGCATCACAGATGAGAATTACTTTTATAACATTCTCGTCGTATTATTTATATTATATATATATATATATATATATATATATATATGTATATATACTATAGTATAGATAGATAGATAGATAGATAGATAGAAATATCTTTTAACAATCATTCATACTTAATAGGTTTTATTTTTTGACAAATTCTGTGTTTGCTTCTCTCTGACTCTTGGCTTATTAGCTATTTGTTGTGGCTGTTAAACTGAGAGTGAAGGCTCTCTGAGCTTGTGTTCAGGTCTTCAAAGTCTGGATCTTGAATAATAGTTTAAATTTAATTAAATATAAAAAGTTTTCTTACAGTCCTGACAACCAAGAACACCTGCAAGCTGTGCTAATGTTAGCTCAGCTTGTTTCTCTGATAAGATCCAGATGTACGATGACTTATCCGGTTGAAAACCACTTAGATGTTAAAAATGTGGCTTAAAACTGGATAAAAAATTAATTAATGGCAGCTTCTGGCAGACAACCACAGTCCATGCACAAAGGGGATATTACCCCATCAACAGGTGACCAATGAAACGCACCATTACCTGAATAAAATGACACATTTCTCTGGGTTTGCACATTGTTGGAAACATTTGGGATAATGTTAAGTACACAACTTAACAACATATACAACATAGGCCTAGAGTTACATGTTACAGCTTTAACTATCCTATAGAAATCTAGATGTATTCATTTCACCGAATGTTGGAGTCTTACTCCGTTAGTTCAGAGTATAGTGAAGATATAATCCCTTTTTGATCCATTATGCTTTAACATCTCATTTCCCCTTTTCCAATCATGAAACTATCACACAAGAAACCTCTTTGAAATACGCTCCAAATCTTCGCTGTCATCCCTGTCTGCCTTTAGTTGCTTATAAAGAGGAGCCAACCCTGAAACTTTGCACTTACAAATCAGTCTCAATGGGACTTAACTCAAACTCTGAATGACGCAAAGCAAGAAAAGACTGATCTAAAGGCACTGCAGTAACTTTAAAAGTCCAAGTTGCCAATGTGAAACTTGTAAGATTAGGCCTTTGTGCTTGTGCTCTTCCATACAAAAGGCAGCGGACACACAGTAAGAGGAGATGAAGCAGTGCTGCTTGCTGCAAGCACTGATTAGAAAACACCGGGAGGTCTGCCACTGGAGGGCGTAAACTGCAAAGCAGCTGGACCAAAGAGTTTCAAATCTGAATGTTTGTTCAGAAAAAATGTTTTTGGCTTTTTTTAATATATATATATAGTTATAGTAGTTTATATATACATAGTTATAGTTATAGTAGTTTGTATATACAGTATTGTATTCTGTTTGAATCTCTGAAGCAGAGCTGCATTTTAACTGTGGTCAGTTACAGTTTGTTATTCTTACATTTGGCTAACTTCCTATCAGTGCAGCTAGCAGTCCACTCCCTCCTCCCTGCGTCGCCACACTGACATTCTGCTGCCTGCCCTTGAGGACCGCCTCTTTGTAGAGTTCTCTCTCCTGATGGGATAAAGTGGAAACGGGCTACCAGAAAATGTATTCTCTCTTTACTGCAGAAAGGAGGGACTGGATTAACAAAAACAAATCACTTACAGCACCTTTAAATGTATACATGTAGTCTATAGTTTTCAGAAGCACAACTTAACTTGATGACAATGTGAGCTTATATTGTGAAAATCTTGTATCCAGTCATCTGCGACTTTATCACTATTTATATAACCTAACAAAGTGCCATCCATTGTCCCAAACACACTGGGTGTCTCAGGGAGTCTTGGACCACTCCAATGAGTACTCTACCAGTGTAGCATTATACTAATATAACATTGTCAGATTTGTGAGAGACAGTTTACAAAAAGGATACAAAATTCCACACACTTCTCAAAACAACCTTCACTCACAAAACCTTCTCCACGAAGGGCTTTGCACAGCTTTTTTTCACTGTTTTCCTCCAAAAAGACTCAGTCATCTGTAGGTGTGAATGTGTGTGTGCTTGTAGGCCTGTCACAATAATGATCAACTTATTGTACGATATATGTACAACGTGTAATTTTCACCACAATATTGGCTTAACATTAAAGAATGTCACCAACATTTTAGCCAACGTGATGTCAGAATAAACAGCAGGTTTTTACCTACCATTACTCATGATTGACTCTAAAGCCTACATCTGGGCCAAATGTTTCTTTATATAATATTTCTGGGACAATACATCAGGCCTGTGTGATGGGTTGTCAGCCTATATTTGTCAGATCTGTGATAGAATCCTTCAGGGTGTACCCCTCCTCTCGCCATCTGCATATAGAAAATGGATGGATGGAAGTTGCTGTTTATGGTTTGGTCCCAGGCTCTTCCTGTGCATGTGTCAAAGTGTCCTTGAATGTGGGGAAGTCCCTTTAATGTCACGTAAAATCATGTATGGACCAATCTGCATCCTGGACTGTGGACGTCACACCAGCATTCACTTGTTTGGTATCTACTGTGAGCACTGGTACTGCCCACTAAAATCTGTGTGTGTCTGATTGTACACATCTGTACGTCTGTGAATGTGAGCATCTCTCTGTCTCCTTACTTCTCATCTGTTTAACATCTGTTCATCTTCTCTTCCTCAGCCTTCCTGAGGACAACGCCACAGCACCATCCGACCCGAGGGGGGTTGAGGCAGGAAAAAGGAAAGAATATGTTGCAAAAGAAGAGGAGCTGTACTCGCAGTACTTCTCTTTCTGACTGGCAAAAAAACAAAAAAAATCCCAATTGTGTCAAAAATGAAGTAATGGGACAGAGAGCTAAAGTTGGACAGCGATCAAACTGAAGGTTCTGAAAGACATTAATATCAAACGTCCACAGCTAATCACAGCATTCCCATCAGTCGGGCAGTACTGAGATTCCAGTGTGACTGCAACCTTAGGGCTTCCATACGTGGTGAGCACGATGAGTAGTGTGGCTCGTCAGTGCGTCATCATGAGAGTGCACGGTAGCAGGAGGTGAGGCAATATACACACATTAGTCGACGGTCTCTGCATTTATACCATCTGCAACTGCGCACAATGTGACATTTGTATGAGCTCTAAAGTGGTAAATATAATGTCAAGTTTAAAGGACTTCATTACCCATGAGTTTTGAGGTATTGAAGAGGTTCACTTGCAGCCCTTTGAGAGGCATCTTTGGCTCTCAAGAGGAAATTTCACTGATTAACGTGATACTGAAACGTGAATGCAAAAAACTATAATGCTATGTAATTCAATATGCTACATTTAGTTTGATTTTATTTCTTTGGTTTAGAGAGGAAGAATACATTTAAATATAAGATTTTTGGTCACATGTCTAAATAATAAAGGCATAGTGCCTCTACTAATAATTATATATAAATCAATTATTTTTACCCATGCAAAGATGTTAAAAATGATGCATCCTCGAGTTTATCCCAGATTGTATCACACTTTCTGAATCAGAGCAATCACATCTTGAACTTCTATGTCAGTGCACCGATGCGAATCAGTGAATCTTACCCTCCCCAGTGTCGACAAATTAAATAACAGTCCACTGATAAAATGTAACTATATTCTTTAACATTTAAAGTCATCATATCAAGATGAGAGCTGTATTAATAACATATAATGTCTCAACAAGAAATATTGACACATTAATGTGTTATTTTAGTCGTTGGAGTAGTTGTTGGACCATCTTTCTGATTCCTGTTATGCCATATGTCAAATTTCCAGTAGAAAGGGCATTTAAAAATGAAAAAACACTCATCCTCCCAGGTCTCACACGGACAGATTGGTTTTAATATAAAGAGACTGTAGAGCTCTTACAGACATTTCAGGCACTCACCTTAGTTTTTCCTACAAATAAAGTGTTTAGATCAGTGGTTCCCAACCTTTTCCTGTAATGTACCCCCACAGCCCTGTCTAAGGTAACATTTGAGTGGTAGAAATGTATCCATTTATCCATTTCTTTTAAGCTTTATAAACCATTTTCAGATAACTACCTGGTTATTCATTACTTAAAGAAATCTAAAGTATTTTATCCACTACTTCAGGTCTTTCATGATTTTTTATAATAGTTGCCGCTCACAATTTCCACCATTCATCGATTACTTTTTAGCTATCTATTTAACCACCTAAGTATCACTATTAGATGTTATGGATAAATAGTTAATTAGCTATCCAGCTTAACAGTGACAGCCAAACCTCCAATATACATTCTTAAACCTTCATGAAATAATTCCCACCGATTCTGGAGCTCATACAAAGAAGTCATAGTAATGGTTGCAGTGAGTATGAATATAAAGACAATAGTAACATACTGTAGATTAAGAGATGTTCACCTCCATATAATTTCTTTTTTTTGTACATCAACATGTGTCTTACAAGCTGTAATTTGACTGGAAGTGCTTTGAAAGTTCATCCAGGACAAAGTGATTCTTGCCTTGATACTCGCCTTTAGTCTTTCATGCTGTGGCCCCATCTGCAGTGTAAATACACACCATGTATTTGAGGAAAAATGGACCGAGCTAGCTGCTGATTCTGGTTGTTTTTTTGGCCTCAGTGCGATGAACTACAGTATACCACAATAACGACACCAGCAAAAAAAAAAAAACTAACTTTAGCTTGCTGTCCCAGTGCTTTGACTGTGTACATACAGTATATGTTTGAAAGTCCCTTTCAAATCTCTGAGCTAGTTGAGGGGCGCTTGATTTACCATTCCAGACACCTCAACAGTCTCAGGAGGGGAAACATCAAGAGGAACTGAATCAAGCACCCCTCATATTTTTATTATTCCAGTATTTATAATGTAACAAGCTACTGTTTTTCTACGGTCTGTTTGTGATGCCAGTGGACCAGAGACATGCAGAGAAAGAGTTCTGTCAGCGACATGGAAGGAACTTTTTTAATGCCAAGTATTATGTGTTCAGTTAAACACTTAATTTCATTACAAGTTAGGAGCTTCATGTGAGCAACTCAACTCTTTTGCTACATGTCTCTGCCTGTGGGGCAGGCCATAGAGCATGTGAAAACAGAAACACTATCATAATGCTGCTGTCACTCACTTGAAACCCTCATATCTCCCGTTTTTTGGTGTACTGTCTGTTTTGACTTGACTTGACAGTTTACATAGTTCTTGTGCTGCATAATTTAAAGGTCCATTCAGTAACCTGTACAGTTTCCAAACCGCATGGTCATCATCAGCCTGAAAGAGGCTCCGTTTCTTACTTCTTACAAAGTGGATAGAGGGACGTGAGGTGTGAGAGGCTACTTCCTCTCACGCCGACACCACCGGGGTCCGTCCAACAACACAAACACATTCAGTCACATTACGGCTTCAATCGATGCTCGCGTCTCATAACAGAATCAACTGAGGCCTCAATGGTTCAGGAAGCGTTTGCATTCATGGATCATAAAATATATTAGACACAAGTCAATAATGCAATCCAATACAATCTCACCACAAAGAACCGAATCAGCCCCTTTGATAAAGTATCAACAAATATTAGTCTTTGGGTTCTAGTATTGGATTGCATTAAACTGTTTCCCTGTTTGTTTGTTTTTCATCCAGCTCCTGTACACTATATATTTTACAAAAGCCTTCTAAACCTTCAAAATAATTCAAGAAAATATATACATTAAAGCCCCTACAAGCAATCTTAATTTTGGTTTCAAGGAGAATCAGACTCAGTGGCAGGCATAACTATATAGAAATATTTGTTTATGTAGCTCATATAGAGGGGATCCGTTTCATAACCTGTCCATTTTAGAAATAAATGTGTACTATTGATTTTATTTTCATTACAGAGTAATTAACAACTAAGAACACTAATCGGCACACCAGGCACACCATTGCCGTAATACACTGTAATACCAAACCTTGTGCATCCCTCACATCAGATTATACCTAAGGGTATCGTTGGCTTATGGTATGTTATGTCTTAGCTTAGCATAAAAGCAGAAAGCATCTCCTCTCTTTAATCTGTAGGAAAAAAAGCATAAAAACATCTGTTTGTGGATCCACGGGATGTTAAGTGCGGAACTACTTCTTGGCCTGGCACATTGTCTCCGCTCGATGTCTGGCAACTTTATGCTATGCTAAGCTAAGCTAACATCTCTCAGGTATAGCTTCAGTATTAACATACAGACATGAGTGGTATCGATCTTCTCGTCTAACTTAAGGCAAAAAAGCATATTTCTTGTAAAATTTGCGGTATTCTGAAAAGAAAGATAGGATGTCAATTCTCTTGAAAATGGAAAAACTTCAAGATATTCTCTTTTTGCCTTCTTTTTTAATGGCGATTTCATAGTATATTTGTTTATTAAGTACTGAAATTCTACTTTTTTGTGTTTCCTTTGTCTCATATCACTGTTCTGTCAAATCAAAAAATGAAACACTTCCTGAAAGCAGACTGGACCTCTAGCAGACGTGTTTGTGTTTGTGCCATAAGGGAAAGACAGTCAAAATTAGCCATCAAATTAGAACATTTTATAAAAGACTTATAAAACTAACTAAATAAAGAATTTGCCTCCCTGATTTTATACTATAACTATACAGCAAACTTCTATCGCGACACTCTAATCTCTAACTGTCCCCTTATGACATGAATGCATCATAATGCCATTGAAGTTTATGTTACGCTGACACAGTATATTAAATGGTTTAATCGTATTATTGACCTGTAAAGTGACAAAACCCAGCAAAGAAAATGGACCAATAAAGACAAACAACGGTCTCCTCTCTGGGAGCGTAGACCAGACACTGAACCGCAGTTGGTTCACTCCTCCATTCGCACTGTGAAGATTATATTTATTCAAACAATTACGTTAGATATTGACATTTAAGCTTCAATGTCTGCGTCAGACTATGCAGAAGTCTTTTGTTTCTTCTTTAGTTTTTTCCTTTTACTTAATACATTTCTCACAATCGCATCCAATTTTACTGCCACTCTTTTTTTCCCTGCTTATGATTTCACATACTTGTATGTGTACTGTTTTTTCCAGCTAAAACCAAGAAGCGCATTGTGGGGGACTGCCCTATCTAACAGTGATAGAGTTTTGAATGTTTTCCTACCTTCCAGGCAGCCAGTAATTTAACTACAGTATCAAGATCCACTTACAGAAACTTGAAAGTTGGCTTTAGATGGATATTGCATCATTGTGAATTATATTTCTGCTTTATATTGTCAAATATTAAACTTTTGAAAACAATAAAAGCAGACATAACATTCACTGTGATGGATTGCCAAACTCAAGTGAGTTTAAAGTCTCAGCTTGCAGTAATGTACAGTGCGCTCTCACTCCCAACTTGTTCAATACTACCGCTTGGTCAGTGGCTCTGCAGTCAAGTTTGCAAGATTTAATATGCAACATCCGGTTAGACTTTCCAAATTAAGCCTGCAAGGTTAAGATTGTGAAACAGTCGCAGTTTAGTTAGTTCTGGGCACAAAAACTACTACTACTTACGTGCCTTGACGTAATTTAAATGCATGAATAAAAGGTAACTTATGTAATCTGTGTTACCACAGACTGTATATTTACAAATGGACGTGGTTTCCATGGCGTCACCCATAGGTTTCTGAAGTTGTGAGCTCAGTGTGGTTGGAAGTCCTGCCTCCGCCGGCTCCCAGCTGATCCAAAAATGGACGTGGTGGAGCGTGCGTGGGGCTGAGGCCGGTAAATGAAGATGAAGGTTACCGAAAACAGCCATCTGCGACAAGACCCACCTATTCATAATTTTTAAGTCTCAACGTTATATAAAATTTCATCCCTCGTACAGTTGTCATGAACAGGTAAATTAGCTATAGAAACCAAAACCGTTTTTTGCTCCAGGCTGTAAATATGTTTATTTTTGCTGTAAAGGTCGGGCATTTTAATATGGGGCCTTATGGAGATTGACTCATTACTGTAGTCAGCCTCAAGTGGCCGTTTGAGGAAATGCATTTACTTCAGTGTTTGCTTAATTTGCTAGCTACGGAGGTTGCTGCTTGTATGTAACATAAGTACGTTCCGTTAGTTAATTTGCATACATTACAAAGAAATGTACTTTTGGTTTTACATGGGACACGAAAAATTGTCCTTTAACAGCAATGCGTTCACAAATGACGCATGAGGGATATTTTGAAATGGATGGCGACTGACCTTAGCGGCAGTGTTTGAGGACTTAGGAGTGACACTGTGTTGTAATGTAAAATAAGTTTGTTCTTGACCCTGGAAACAGCCGTTGAGAAAACAGCCCCACCTCAAGCTCCATTCTGGAGCTTTCAATTATATCATAATCTTCTGCAGCAGATGGAGCTCACCTGCTTGCCATGGAATTGTAGATGTTGAAATTTCCACTGTTTTCTGAGCACTTTAAGGACTTCTTGTCCATGTTGGCTTAAATGTTGAGGTTCAAAGTTCAGTCTTGATCTTGGGAACAGCAGCTGAGAGAACAATCTTACCACATTTAGGTCCATTCAGTAACCGTTCCGGAGCTCTTATAATCAAATGACATGGTCTTCATCAGCAGATGGAGTTGGATAACAGTTTGACAGCTGAGCAAACTCCATCTGCTGACAAAGATCATGTGATTAGAAAGCTCCCGAACAGCTACTGAATGGACCTCGTAGTGAGATGCTTATTATGAATGAACAAACCACTGGTATGGTCCCTAAAGTTGTGTTTACTTGTTTAAGATAGCAAGTTTATTTTTTACATAATTGTTCCATTCACATATTTGTTATTCTTTCTATACTGTTTGATTTGTAATTTATGCATTTGCTCACACTGTATTGGTTTAATTGACCCATTTGTTTGAATGTGCCACATCTGAATTGTTTTAAAGAATACCACTCAGTTAAAGGTGTTTCTTGGAGCCTGCCTCTTGTGGTCATCAGCAGAACTGCAGGCATTGCCATCACATGACCTTTGTCCATCGTTGCCCCAAGGTTTATGAAGGTCTTTTTGAATTGTTGTAACCTTTAAAAATGAATGGGCATTCATGGGAACATCAACTCTTGTTTCTCAGCACCTGACAGAAACTTCTGGAGGTTTTTTTAAACACTGGCATCAGCTGGCCATCAGTGAACCATAGGAACTGCAACTTATTAAAACTTGTCTGTTTAGTTTTTTTGGATGTACGATATACCGTTCAGGGCTCAGTTCATTTCACTTTCAACTCCGTTTTTTTCCAGAACAGAAAAAAAATGGAAAATTGTGACGTCTCTACATTTTAAGAAATAAACTGTAAACTGTTGTTGCAGTTTGTATTTGAACCGAGTTGAAAGTGATTTGATGTCGCCCTTGTGACTTATCATTTAATGATGTCCGTCTTGCCATTTTTGAAGTAAAATATATAATAATTATTGCAACAATATTTATTTATATTTATATCATTTCTGTTGTACGTTATGGAACAGTAAAATTATCATTGTGAGATAAAGCTTTCTGTCGTGCTCCTTTAAGTGTGTGTGAGAGAGAGAGAGAGAGAGAGAGAGAGAGAGAGAGAGAGAGAGAGAGAGAGAGAGAGAGAGAGAGAGAGAGAGAGAGAGAGAGAGAGAGAGAGAGAGAGAGAGAGAGAGAAACCTCCTGTATGCAGCTGTTTTTCGCAGATACAAACACACATCATGGAATTAGATTTAGCTCCCAGAAGCCCTAATGAGCAGTTTATGCTCAGTTAGTAATTCCTGCTGTGATGGTAGCCACCTAATGTGATTTATGCAAATGACTTTATGCAAACAGCATTCTTTGGCTCAGACTGAGAGATAAATATTCTTCATATATAATGACCAGGTCACAAGGTTGACACTGAGGTAAGGTAAGAAAAATATATAAAGCTTTTTAAACAACTTGCAGTTTTAGTTATTTGTGTATTAGGCCATATGAGTGACATTTGTCACTTCAGGGCCTCCATACCATACATTTTAGACACGAGCCTCCTTTGTTCATATAAATACAATGAGTAGAATGTGGCAACAGGAGCCGTGTATAGTTCTCTTCATCCCACACATGAAAGATGAGATTGAAAGGCCACTGCAGAGCAGGATTAAGTCTTGCATGTTGGGCTTGATGCCATTTTGGCTGCTCTGCTCTGTGGATGTCATTAAAGTAGCTTAAGCTGTACACAGTGTTTGACATGTCTGCTGTTGTCACTAAGGAAGCTGTTTCATAGACAAAGGGCACTCTAAATAAAAAAATTGAGTATTAAGTATTCCCTCTCTATTTAAAAGTATTTAGATTCTAACTCGTAGAGTGCACTCTAGTCCTTGTAGACTTTATTTCTTTTTAACTAATTTAATTTCCTTTTTATTATGTTGAGCAGCACAAGCTTTCCAGGTGGTTTCTTTATTGTTTGTATGTATTGATGTATAAGTGTTTACACATGATTCCCACAGGCAAAGGTCAAAGTAATTTACCACAAAATGTAAATATTTCTTTCACACAAATTTTATCCTCTCAACTCTCTTAAACTTGTGTGGAAAGGAAAAGAAATATCCTTGCTGCCCTATCAGGACCTGACCTTATCTAGTTGCTAGGTTAAAAAAAAGACTGTCAGGGAGCTCTGTGATAGGCGCTCCTTTTAGCGAAGCCACGCCCCTGACATTAAATTAACTACATTCACCTCTAAGACTGGGGGTTTGTTTATCGATGAAATACCGATTTCTTTTTTTGATTAGCACCTGTGTTTACCTTACTATTTCATGTCAAAGTGGCTGCCATGAAAAAGGTCTATTACACTAATGTGTTTGGTGATTTTTGTACCTATAGTTTGTTTTAAGTAAAAAAAAATAAGGGAACACTCAATCATCACAGTATAACACCAAGTCAGTTAAACTTCAGGGTTATCAATCTATCCAGTTAGGAAGCGTATGCGATTGTGAATCAATTTAAACTGTTTTGGTGCAAATTAAAGTAACCACAGGTGCACTGGAGAGGCAACAGCAAGACAACCCCCAAAAAGGGAATGGTTTTGCAGGTGGTGGCCACAGACGATTGCTCTCTCCTAATCCTTCCTGACTGATTCTTCTCTAGTTTTGCATTTTGCTAGTGTCCTTGTCACTACTGGTAGCATAAGGCAGTACCTGCAGCCCATTCAGGTTCCACAGGTAGCTCAGGTCCTCCAGGATGGCACATCAATACATGCCGTCGCAAGACGGTTCAAAGTGTATCCCACACAAGAGCATGGAGGAGATACCAGGAGACACATTGCACAAGGAGAGCTGGACAGGGCCGTAGAAGGGCATCAACCCAGCAGCAGGACCAGTATCTGCTCCTTTGTGGGGGAGGAACAGGAGGAGCACTGCCATAGCCCTACAAAATGACCTCCGGTGGGCTACTGGTGTCCCTGAGGGGTGTATGACGGCCCGACGTCCTCTAGTGGGACCTGTGCTCACAGCCCAGCACCGTGCAGCTCGATTGGCATTCGCCAGAGAAAACCAGAATTGGCAGGTATTGGCGCCCTGTTCTCTTCACAGATGAGAGCAGGTTCACACTGAGCACATGTGACAGATGTGAAAGAGTCTGGAGACGCTGTAGTGATCCTTATGCTGCCTGCAACATCATCCAGCATGACTGGATTTGCAGTGGGTCAGTGATGGTCTGGGAAGGTATATCCTTGGAGGGTTGCACAGACCTCCACGTGCTAGCCAATGGTACCCTGACTGCCGTACCCTGTTAGGTACCTGGATGAAATCAGAGCCATTATCAGACCTTATGCTGGTGCAGTGGGCCCAGGGTTCCTCCTGGTGCAGGACAATGCCCGGCCTTATTGTAGTCAGAGTGTGTAGGCAGTTCCTGGAGTCCATTAACTGGCCCTCACGTTCCCCAGACCTGAATCCATTTAAGAACCTCTGGGATGTTGTGTATCAGTGCATCTGATGCTGCCAAGTAGCGCCACAGACTGTCCAGGAGCTCACTGATGAACTGATCCAGGTCTGGGAAGAGATCCCCCAGGACACCCTCCGCCGTCTCTTCAGGACCATGCCCAGATGTTGTCAGGAGTGCATACAGGCACATGGGGGCCATATACACTCTACTGAGTCTGATCAGCCTGGGAGTTGAATTTTTTACTTTGGTTTTAGGTGTAATTTTGAATCCAGCCCTCAATCGGTTGGTGATTTTCATTTCCATTGACCGTTGTTAAATCATTTTCTTCTAAACAAATTACACAATGTTGTACAGTAAAGATTCTGAACTTGAATATTTCGTTTATCGAGATCCAATGTGGGATTTAAGTGTTTTTTTGAGCAGTGTATTTGCAATTGGTTCCCTAATGACTGAGCCTTGAACAGTCTGTATTCAGTCTGCACTGCATACTGAAGATGGCAGTAATGTAACAGTAATAATACGAGCTTCCCAAAAAAATAACTTAGACAACAAAACAGGCTGCCCCAAATTAAATTTATGTGGCCTATATTGCATTTAAAAGTTAGCAGACCAACTTTGATTAAAATGTATTAATTTGATATGAATGTTGTATTATTGTCTCAAAGTTGCAAACAAACAACATGAAATAACTAAAATTATTGTGGACTTTTCCAACACTTTATCCTTCAAACATACACACTGTGACTGCAAATGGTCCTTTATCCTGACTTGACCTGTATTCCTAAATCTAAATGCATATTTTCCCCAAAATTTGGATGTGCAATATATAGAACAAATTTGCCACACCTGCATCAGGAGAAACCACTTTAATTGTTTTGACATGCAATTTTCTTTGGTGTTCCATAGTTTACAATCTTCCAAGCATACATAGAAGAACAAAACTGCGTTGGTTTTCTCAATAATTTCGAATCCCATATGTAAATTAAGTGTAATTTATATTTTTACATTTTCAGTCATAGGCATCATACACATTCTTCCCATAAAACCAATGGTGGTTAATGCTTTTAATGCTGATTTAGGAATCTGACTTTACAGTTTATTTTGTACATCGTTAACTGCCACAACCAGGGCACTTGTGCTGTAATTAACCAAAGAAGCAATAGTTTTAATAACCAAACAGAAACTTAAAGGGCATAACAGAAAATTATCATTAAGTGAAATCACACCATGCAAAGTGAAGTTTTCTTTACAACTGATAAACTGCATGTACTGTATATGTATTTGTGTGTGTAAAGCTCTCTGTTTGCACTCAACACTTCCAATTAACAGATGATCTCTGAAGTCCAACCAATTACACGGCTGAAGCGTTCATGTAGCCAATCAGAAACAGCTGCAGGTAAGCTGCACTACCTATACTTCACATACTTTATAGGCATACAGTACTTAGAATGACTTCTAAGGCTTATATAAGCAAGTGTAAATGTTGGAGTGTAATGACAGACCTGCCACAGAATTGTGAATAAGCTGACTAGCTTGATGGGCAGCCACATGACTGCAACTTACTTGACAGTAATCAGTTTAATTCATTAATAACTTTTTATGAATTATGCTATCTAGATTCAAAAGATGGTTCAACTTAGATTATTCCAAATCCCTTTGCCCTGAGGTAATTTATAAAAGGCGGTGCATTTAATGTTTTTTTTTTTTTGTGCGATGTTTCGTAAATAATACATTTGCATAATCATTTTTACAAGTCTTTCACACTGCAGAGGGTCTGACCAAAGAAGAAAAATGTATAGGATTGCAAAGAAAGGGTGCTGTTCCACCACTACATGTGGACCATTTCCTGCCTTCAGCAACCAACATGGCTGAGAGATTAAACTGAGCCGTGATTTAAGCTGCAGTTCCTCTAACAGCCACTAGATGCTGGTCTAAAAACATTCATTTATGTCCAAAAACAAAGTGATTATTTTTTGTAATTCCCATTTTTTATTTGAATACTTAGAATGTGTGCCTCGAATTCCGTTGAAGAGCGTTGACATTGTTTTTTTTTTTTTTTGGTGCCTGCATTGCTCTCCCCCCGGTTTGCCTTTTTTAAATTTACCACGAAGGAGCCAAAGTCAGATTTTCAGTAGGGTTGCATGTTTTCCCAACTCTGAATTCCCATTTCCAATTTGTGAAATTTGCTTGTGCTAACCACAGACCTTATTTCAGGCATCTAACTAAAATCCATAATAAACCCCATTGACTTCAATCAGAGGGAACTGGAAATTGCTAACTCAGTTCTGGGTTTTAGGACTGCAGCACTCTATCATAGCTGTAGCAAATTCAGAAGGTTGTATTGGTTTTTGAATTTTTCTTTTTCGGTCAATTTTCTTCCTTTGTTGCTGTTAGCGAAGCATGTGACAGAATTTTAAGCTCAGTGATTGGATGTTTCTAACCAAACTTCTGCTACTTCTTGTGAGGTTAACTTGTCACCTCACACGGTGACATGTTAGATATTAAATATCACATTTCTGTCGTACTGATGAAAGGCAAACAAAGTCAGAAAAGGTATTTTTTTGTGGCTTGTTTATGTAAAGTCGCTCAGCCTATCGCACTCAGCCCTGGTGTTTGCTGCTTTCCAGTCCCACGATACTTTTGCCAAATTTGGAATTTCAATTTCAATCAAAATACAGAAACCTGATGTCACAGACTCTACACCATATTTCACCATATTTTTCCTTGTCTGTGATCTCTGACAGGAAAAATGCAAATGGAAAAAAATAATTCCCAGCATGTTTATCTGAGGGCGGGCTACAGGAAGCAACAGGGGCTCATGGGAAATGGAAATTAAACAACAGTGATGTATTGATATTACAGTATTATTCACATTACATCTATTAAGCAGTATACAAATTGTCATACAGTATGAATGGAGGGAGCCAGTCTCCTTCATAAACCAACTTAAAACAACACATTGTAATGTAAGCAGGGTATTATCTGAATGAGCAGCAGGCAGATATACATACAGTATATCAGTGGAGTTTAAACTGTTGATGTCGGGTCACTTTTGATCATTCCCTTGAGAGAGAGAGAGAGAGAGAGAGAGAGAGAGAGAGAGAGAGAGAGAGAGGGCAGGGAAACTGATCCCTGCTCAGCTCTGATAGAAACTATTTGAGAGAGTTTGGCCTTTTATCATGTTGGATTCATTTTACCTCCATGACTCTACCTCGTAGTTGCTGTCAAACAGGGTCAGGCTGATATATGGGGAGTATATCTTTATTGCTTTATTAGAAATCTGTATGGATCGGTGATGCCCATATCTCAGCCAAACCCTCGTCCACAGCACAGCCTCGCCAAACTCTCTCTGTGCGTCTCTGCTGTCCTCAGCTGCTGAGCAGGACGATGATGTAAATGAGGAGCAGACAGATGAGGATGAGGGTGAAGTTAACGAACAGCTCCTGCAGGTTCCTCTTGGCTTGTGGGTTCACCTCGATCTGAGACGCTCGGCGTATGGCCGACTTGGTCATGTGCTGAACACGCTCCATGGAGACTGGTTAGATTTTGATGAGGCTGGATTACGTGAGGAGTTCACAAGAGTTCAGGCTGCGGGGCCTGTTTGGACTGAGTGGAGCCGGACTGAGCTGGTAAAGGCTGGTTTTAGGAGGTGAAGTCAGGGGAACTGCTGCTGGTTGTCGAGAGATGAGCCCTGGAGATTAGGCAGCCTGAAGTGTTTCAGTGTCGGTTACACAACAAAAACAGAGATCTCTCCTCTTCTCTCTGCTGGCAAGAAATGGAGAGGGAAGAACCACAGACAGTGAGAAAAGGTTGTTAGAGACGTTGTTCTGTTTGGTTCAGTCTCACTTTGCCTTCATACTTTAACATGAAAGCATTCAAAGCACTTCGGCACCCTCCTGGGGGTGATGTCCCCCTGGCTGAGGTCTTGTGTGACCTTTGTGTATCGCAGTGCATGGTGTGATGATAAGAGAGCTGCTCAGAGGCGCCAGCTGAGGTCCGATGATGTGTAAAGCCAGACTCTAGTAGGGGTGGCAGTGACACAGTGACAATGACAATGTTTATGTCAAAAAGAAAGAAGAGAAATGAAAAGACATAAACTAAAACACATGATATTCTCATAAAGGATATTTACCATTTAAGCTAATACATACAGTTGAGTAAGTACTCTGCTGAGGTCAGCTACAAGCCAAACTAAATCTAGCAACTTTTACTTTAAAAAGTGTTCTGTAAATCAGAGCTTCCCAAACTTTGGAGACTTGAGCCCCCCTGCCCCCCCGCCCCCAAAAAAAGAGCCCGGGTCTGTCCTAGGTTTCTGCCTCTTAAAAGGAAGTTTTTCCTTGCCGCCATCGCCAAGGTCTTGTTCATGGTGGTACGATTGGGTCTCTGTAAATAATGTTATAAGGAGTTCGGTCTACACCTGCTCTATTTGGAAACTGTCTTGAGATAACTTAACAAATAAAATTGAATTGAATTGAATTGAAAATTTAAATTGAAGGAGGGAGGAGAGTGAGTGGTGGCAGTTAACGTTACTACTATGCCACTTACATTACCTTGGTGGCTTACACTGCTGAGGACAGCTTCCAGTTAGTCTTTCCTTTTTCTGGGTTAAAGCACTACCCACGTCCCACAAGAGTACAGATACAAATACAGATCATTAATTTGGTTGTACAGATACAGATAATGGTTATACTTGCAATGAAATATTTTTTTTATTTATTTTAAAGTCCTACCATCACAGTGGCCAAAAGCAATTCTGTGATGAAGTTTCATATTAAATTCCCTGAAAACCTGGTTTCAAAGCCAATTAAATATCTACAGTAAGTAATCAACATTTAAAGTGAATGTATTAAAGTAATCAAAGATATTGTTCATTAAGAGTTTAACACTCAAGTCAACTGACACTTCTATTAGTTATACAGCGATATGTACTAAAAGTTAACATTAACATTAACCCTACCCTACCCTCAGCTACTGGTCATACCGTACCGAGTAACGCTGTAGGGTTAAAACCCCGGAGCGAACTGAACTGAGCAACACTCTCACTTATACATTTTACTTCAACTTGTAAGAGGAAGATATGTAATTTCTTATTTTACCATAGTCACGTTTTAATAATTTTTCACTCATACTCAGGCTGAATGGATTTAAGTAGGAAGTAGCCGATGAAAAAGCACGTGAGTAGATAATAAATGGCCGTCATGTTGCAGCTGCAGGCTCTCTACTCTCACTAAATCCCTTTTGTTATCTGATCTGCGACTTTCCTGCGATCAAAGTCACTGTGACAAGGTGACCGTGCTTTTGCATTAGTGGCTCCCACAAACGGTGAACATCTTACCACTTGTACATCAGCTCTGCCAAGTTGTTTGCTATTTTTAACGAGAATGAGAGTCCTGCTGGTGGCCCCTACTGGGTACATTGTTCATTACATCCAATAATACAAAAGAGGAGAGCGACATGCATTACAGACGGCTTTGGATTCCCTGCAGCCTTGTTACTAGAGACGTCTGTTGTCAGGCTGTTAATCTGTGTCTATAAACTATGTAAAGAGTTGTCCTGAGGATGGCACTAAAGGAAAGATTGATATTCACTCTTGTTCTATGCTTGTAATATTAAAACTGCACTTTTATTCACTCACCTCCATTTTTTTTGTATTTTCCTGTTACTTTGCTGCAGTGTGGCACCAGTACACACAACAGGAGCCATTTAAGTCATTTGATACCTTCCACAGACATTTCAACACATCTATTTTTATCATTTCACTTTTGTTTGTTCCACCCTCAATCTGTCTCTGTGTCACCCATTATCACTTGACATGTTAACACCTTTACACACACACACACACACATTTCTCATACCTGATGGGATAACTCCATAAGAGTGTCAGTCGGCTCTGAGACCTCTAACTTCTGACCTGACTCAAGTGTCTGCTCTGACAGCAGGAAGTTTTTGCGGTAATATTTATGATCCCTGAAGACTCACACAACCTCTGTGCATGTACAGTAAAATGTGCTGTAGTGTGAAAGTGGTATCTCTATTTAGAGGCTTAGTTTTGTTTGAATTAAATATACAAAGCTTAGGCAGAAACAGCTGAGACATTCCTGGTCTCATGGAAGAGAAAAACAGCTTCGCTCATTTTAATGAGTTATAATTAATTACTTTTTAATAGGACATCAGCTGAAAAGAGGCCACTGAGGAACTGTCTTCTGAAGTGTTTTCTGTTGATTTTCTCCGCACTATACTCTGCTACAGCCTAACATCAGCCCTGCTTTGCAACAGACTCTTACTGCTAATTGGCATTAGCATTTGTGATCTGAAGGGACATTCTGAATATTGGTTTTACTACTCGCCACCATCTTTGAAAACAAACAAACCACTGTTTTGGGTGGAGCTTTTGATGGGTTGTACAAGTACACTGACAATAATAAGAATATTCAATAGATATTCCACAGATATTTTCAACCAACTCTGCGGTTCCCCTTCAGCTTTACAGAGTTGCGTAGCCTCATTTAGCTCATTGTTCGACACAAGTCACATACATGACGTTATGTGACTTAAAACTCAAATAACTCAATGCTGACTTATGGTTTCAAATGGTTCTTCTGGGTGAAGGCCCTGTGTTTGTCTGACCCATCCACCCACCACCGCCACCTCGTAACGTGGAATTTCCCGCTCTTTACACTGTGTCATTAGTGAACTTGAATCATGTTTTATTTTTAAATGGTCATTACTGTCAGATAAGTCTGGTTCTGTTACTTTTATAAACACAATCAGCTGTTGTTGGCTGTTGTTGCCAAGAGCTAAATACCTCCACTGTGACCAACAGAGGGGAGTGGATGTGTAGTTAAATATGAAAGTACAAAGTTTCATCCTGAAAGTATAATGACTGCGTTACACGTGTGTGTGTGTGTGTGTGTGTGTGTGTGTGTGTGTGTGTGTGTGTGTGTGTGTGTGTGTGTGTGTGGGTAGATGCCAGTCATTCCACAAGTGTGACTTTTATCAGTGTGTGTCAGCACCAGTAGCTGTTGTCCTGAGCAGCAAATGAGGCTACACACAGATCTAACAGCTGAGGTGGTCCATCTGCACACTACGGGCAGTAGTGTCAATATATAATCAATATATTTTTATAAATAAAATAGCTGCATTGCTGTATCTTTTGCAACTTCTGGCATCTTGACGGTGAAAAAATCGGAGTATGACAGCAAACAAGCAGTAACATGTAGGTTTGATGCTGACCTATTATTCTTAGTGGGCCATGGTCAGTTTTACCCACCTGCTCATAAGAGCTGTAGGGTGACACTACTTTGCAGCAACATTCATTGTCTATAAATGTGTCTGTTTTGTTTCTAAACTACTGAAATAAAAAGATATAGACCTATATATGATAGCTCTGTGTGTAATCTGTGTAAATTTAGGTGTGTTAGTCAGAATCTTCCAGTTCCAGAGAAGATGTCCTAGTGTACTTAATGTGAGGGAGGAGATTAAGATGAGGACTGTCATTATATATTAGTTTGTGCCCTTTTGCATGATGATAGAAACACATTAGTTAAATACAAATATACAGGAAATGCCTTTCAGTCTAGCTTTAGTATTTGTCGATTTGGTGCCATTAGGGCCCCCCCCCATTATATAGAATACAATTAAAAGTTAAACTAATACAATCTAAACTAAAACTAAACATTTTAAAACCAAATCTTGCAATGTTTGTTAAAATAATGGTAACTTTTACAGAATATTTACAAAGTATTTCTCATTCTCCTCTGTATTTTATTGTATTGCCAATTACTTGCATATACCTCCTCGAGAAGTCATTGTGGAGTAAAGAAAATGCTCTAAATCTTAACCAATATCTTTTGTCAGTAGGTAAACTGTCACCACAGAACCCTAACAACTTCTGATAAGCATCCATAGCCAGTTTGATCAATTTTACCACTAATAACTATGAAGCTAGCTGTCATATCAGACGGGATTAGTTTTAAACCAAAGGCCAATATCATTTGTTAGCATGTGCTACTGTAACATTTACAAAATCCCTGTTTAGAGCGGATCTGGCTTGTCAGCGCTCTAAAATAAAATCATGTGCTTTGGATGGGAATGTAAGAAGTGGAGATGAGTGTTTATCCCTCTGGGAGGTTCAGTCCAGTTTCCATCACCCCCCTGCCCTCCCGCCCCTCTATTCAGAGCTGTGTTTACTGTATGGGAACAATGACTGCACTGTATCTTAACATAAGCCCTCACAGCAAGATCAATGATGTCTCACTGTGACAATTACTCTGTGCTCATTAGACTACGCAGCTACTTCAGTTAATGACTAACTTAAACTTAGAACTGTTCTATGGTCATTGAGTCCACTAGAAATAATAATACTTGATGGATTTTAATGACTGTCCTAGTTTAATGACTCATTCTGAGCATTATTATATCCTATACATCATCTGTCATTATTGTCCCTCCATCTACTGTTCTAAGATGAAATCAGAATTGAAGAGCGGTCTGTAGAGGATGCTGCTTCTTACCTTTCAGATGAGAACAGAGCTGGTCGGAGTTTGAGAGAGAAATGTTAGATATGCAGCACTCTCCAAGGCTGTAAACACAATGTGAGAGGGTGAGAGAGAGAGAGAGGGAGAGAGAGAGAGAAAGAGAGAGAGAGAGAGAGAGAGAGGCAGGACATCCCAGAAAAGATTTTCAGAGAGTGTGGATACCAAGGTCGTACCAGGTCTGGTGACATGCAGCAGACCACATCTGCCAGCGGAGCTCACTTTTCTTCAGGAATTTGAGTTTGAGTCTTAAAACCTGAACATGTCAACTTGTTAAACCATGACTGATAAAAACTCTCAATTCAGTTGTAATTATGTTCACGGGTCACATTATGACAAGCTGAAGACAATTCATTATTTGAATCTGTCAAGATCCTATTCACAAATCCTATTGTATATTATATGTCTGTATTTAACAGTTTATTTTTGGCTTCAATCATAAATCAAGCTTGTGGGATTAGAGCTGGGCTTTGCAGTCATTTTGGCAGAGTGGTCACAGTTGCGATTGCAGGAAATGTGACACAGAAACCTAATGTCATACTAGGGCGGTCATGATATCAGATTTTATTGAGGCCAAAATAATTCACGATAACGATATTGTGTGTTTCTATAAAAAAACAAAAAAAATCAGTCAGATTCATATTAAACTTTTATTGTGTGCTTTGTCTCTTATTTTGCAAATTAACTTTATTGATATAAATATTTGAGAGATTTCACTGCACACCTTCATCACATCAAAACTGGTGCATAGCACACATGACAAAAACAACGTAACAAGACTAAACAAACGAGCGGGAGAGTCGACCCTGAACTTTGCAGAGAAACAGTAGAAATGAGTAAAGAATGTGTGTACTTTTGCCACCTCTGCCACCACCCACTATGTTGGAGTGTGAACCACAGAACAGGAATGTAAAGAAACAATATATTTTCTATATACAGAAATTATGTCAGAGGTGCTGGATTATTTACACAATATTATCATATGTGTATTATTAACACATGCATGTCTACAGACAGCAGACAGCCTCCAGAATCTGCTCCAGAGGTAATAAAACGTCATTTAAAAGTCACACAAATCACACAGATATCCAGCATACTCCACTCCATGTCTAGATAAGATAATTTTAAAACATCTAATGTTGTTGTTTATTTATGAACTTTCTGTTTTTAGCAGCCTTTAACAAACACCATCTCTGATTAGCAACTTGGTTCTTTATTAAAAAAAAAAAAACACTTCTGAAATTTAGAAGAAATTCCTTTTTCCTTTTGACTTTAAAGTCTGAAATGTAAATCTAAAAATAACTTCGACACATCTTAAAAATGGATTAGAATAATGAAGTTAACATTACTTGTATAAAGTTGCATTTATCACTCTCTCTTTTGAATGTGTGTTTAGGAAAATGTTTAATTGATCATAGTGTAACAACTATAAAACACAACTGACATGTCCCTAATGTACCTTGTACCTTCATATCCCTAATACTTTTTGAATTCCATTCAATATGGTCTAAAAAAAGTCTTAATTTAACCCGTTGAAACCAGCAGAAACCCTAACACCTTACTTCCTTTGCTGCTGTCGAGCATCCTTAATGTAACGGATGGCTCACTGAGTTTGGATTCCTCATTGTTTAAGTGTTTGCTGGGAACAACCAGCTCATCATGGCAGAGCTAGCTTGCAGTTTGGCCTACAATCAAACATCACAGCTGGATCCCTCTATTGTCTTCATTATCCTGGCAGCCTGATAGACACTTGGCACAAGCGGATAAGCGAACAGCTGATGGCACCTCTAAATATACAGCGTGGCCATGACCACACCAGTGAAGAGCCTGGGAATCGATCCTTTGCTGATATTGTTAAAGCAATATATTATAGTATAGTTGTCCTGCCAACCTTTAGCATGAAAGCAATATCTGAAATATGATTTGTGACACTCCAAAGCTGCATTACCATCTGATAGCATTATGAGTATAGTTAAAACATATTTTGGGGCTAAACAACTCATTCTGGGTCTTTGGCAGAGTATGTGTGTGGATGTGTGTCAAGTCCTGGACAGCATCGTCCACTTGGGAGAAATCAAAAGCGACAAGATCTTCAAAAAAACTCCGGAAAAAAGTATAAATAACCCCCCCACCATGGCCCAGAAAGCATTGCATCTGCCTTATAAGGAGAATCTGCATGTAAACAGGCTGTCAGTCACGGACTGGGCAGTCAGCTTTGTTGTTAGTGCTACTTACTGCTCCACTGTGGCTACACACTTCAAACAGCCTGAGTGCATGGACAAGCAGATGTTTCTCTTTTTATGACAACTATTTTTCCAAAGATAAGATGAAACATTGATCCTTCCTTTGGGAAAGCTTGCTGCTCAAGAAGGAAATACAACTGTGTTGAAGAAAACAATCACAGTTTCACAAACAGGACGTGAATTAATATATATATATATATATATTTTAAAAGTGATTCTACTGAGACAAAGAATATCGATGTACAATATAAAAAGACATCAGAAAGAAAGAGACAAAACTGAATGAAATGCCATAGACAAATGTATATGCTGTATTTATGACATTTTAGTTTAGTTTATAAAAAAAACCCAGTGTTTCTTCTTCCTCCTACAGTGTGATGTTTGATCTTCACTGTGCAGAATGATGTCTGTACAGAGTTTGACACTAGAAGGATGTTTTCACATTTATCTGCTCAAAGTGGAACGTTTCTCTGTGCTCAAAGAAAATCTGTATTTTAACGGGCGGGGCCTCAGAGCATGATTTGTGACATCACAAATAGTTTGGAAGTCCATCCTGGTCCATTATGCAACTTCTACAACTGTGATATAGAATGCACATACACTGAGAATGGACTACAGTGAAGTAGGAGACATCTTGTGTTCAGCAGGGAAACTTGAAATGAAATGAAATATTGCATATTCATAGATTCTGGTAGAGGGACTAGATGTATTTTAATGTTGACATTTTGTGGAAAAAGCACATTACACATTATTGTTCAAAGCAGACTATTTGTATACATTAATAGTCTTAATACATGTCTGGAGGGAATCTTAAAGATTCATCCCTCATAAGGTCATTATTACCAATTTATAGTACCTTCTGCTATTTCCTGGCAACTGAAGCCTGTGGTTATGTTTTCTATTATTTATAGGGACAACAGTGAGCTGAAGACTGTCTTTTTATTGGGACAGGGTCCAAAGGTTGTTGTTTTTCAGGTCTTTGTATTGCTACACAGAACTTACTTTGGCCTTTTGTAATATAAAAAATGCGTTTGTCCCAGAGGGCTAAAGGTGGTCTTTTAGAACTAAACATTGATGTAATGACAAAAGACATGCAGGGTAGTATCAAACAATGTCATTGTTAAAAAGGTCATCTGTCTCCAAAGGGATTAAAACTTTAGACAAAACAACTCAAAGGTTTCTTTGTTTGCTTTTTAGTCAAGCTAGGGGCGGTCAGTTCACCACTTTGGTCCAGACTGAAATATCTGTGTGATGGATTTCCATGAAATTACATTGGCATTGTACAAACATCTGGTCCCCAGAGGATGAATCCTAATGACTTTGGCTTAAATTAGCTTGGTTAACATGGGAAACATTAGCAAGTGGTGCTCACTGCAGAGCCAGATGGGTGGAGCTCGACCTAATCCAGCTCCACCTCTCTGTACAAAAACATTGATTTGATTTTTGAAACTGGATCATATTTTAGGGATTTCCCTCCAATGTCTTCTGGCTGCTGCTTTACAGAGTTTCCTGTTGGATAGATACATACCTGCCAACTTTTCAAAAAAACCTTGGAGTGAGATTTTGTCAGGGGTGACCAAAATTATGCCGCGCACGCAGCCACATAAGTTGGTGGCTCAGATATCAGAGAATTGGAATTCATTTGATGTTGTACCCATGTTGTACCCTGCATTCTGGTGGTTTGTGGGGAGGCCCAAAGCCGCTGATAGGGGCAGCCTACTGGAGATGGACAATATTGGTTACATTCTGAGAAGCAGACATAGCTGAAGGTCCAGCCCCAGGACATTTTGGATTAAGTAGATGTGATTTCCTGCATTCTAGTGGATTTTTGGGTGGTCTGCTAAAGATGTGCAATACCTGAACTTATTCTGATTCATGTTCGGCATCATGACTCGTAGGGCCTTCTAGACTTGAGCTGAACATTCAACCAGAAAACTATTGTTGTGCCTAAATGACTGCCTGTATCACAATAAAGCCTTATTCATAGACCAGTGTTTAAGATTGGACCTAGGTACTTAGTGCTTAAGGGCACTTCATGATTTATGTTCAGCCAAAAACGGGTCTCCTGCTGCTTGTTATGACAGCTTTCACCACACTAAATCATGTTCACACGCACAAACACAAACAAATCATTTATCATAAGATTTAAAGTTTAAAAGAGTGAGTACTCAATTGGACATTTCATTGTTACATACTCTCAGCTCAGATTCTCATCAGACTTCTCGAGGTAGTTCCTCTCGCTGTCTTTCTCTGTATCTCTTCTTCTGTCGCTAACTTCGGGGTGCCATAGACTGTATATATCGAACGGGGTGCAGCATATATGGGTGCAGCGCATAGGGTTCAGTGGCGCTCATCAGCGCCATCTACCGTCGGAGAGTTTAAAAAGGAACGAACGAGTCTCGGCCTAAGATCATTTTTTTTGCGTGAGAAATTGGATGTGTGACGTGAGTGCGTGTGAAAACAGGCAAAACCGTGTGTCACACGGCGAAAGCGTGAGAGTTGGCAGCTCTGTAGGTAGCTTTCTAACATTAACTGGCGCTGTAGCTGTTGTTAGTGGGCAACGGAACCAGGTTCAGCCGCCTTGTGGCTGGACCGGGGTTGTTGAAAGAGTTTAACCACTCACTCTACTCCATTTGCTGGGTCGGCTAGCTGGAATGCTAACCGAGCTAATTAGCAAACAGAGTAACAATTAGCAGCAGTTAGTGGTAAACTCGGCAAATCACCCGGGTACTGTATTTCCCTGTTGGTCTCTGAGTCTGTGTTCGGCCCCCTCTCCAGCCAGACTGGACTTTGCTGGACTAGGTCAAGCTCCACCCATTGGCTCTGCAGTGTTATT